CTTTACCCTAGCCCTATAATAGTATATAATAAGGAAAAGAACTTCGCCTTATTTACTTATATAGATATATCTATAAGGTTCTATTACTTAATAGAAAGAAAAATAGGTATTAAGGATATCTTTAATAACTTTATAGCGTTACTTAAGACCTAGTATAGAGTTAAAATAACTATATTAGTTACTAATAAGGAAAGGGCTCTTTTAATAATAGAATAAATAGATTATATAACTAATAAAGGGATATAAGTTATATAGTTAGCCCCTTTAACGCCTACGTAAAATAGTTATATAGAGAGATTAAGGGTAATAGTAAAGGAAAAAGTAAGGGTTATAAGGCTTAACTTAAAACTTCTAGAAGAGCTATAGCTAAAGATATACTATATAGCGGTATACCTACTTAATATAATACCCTTTAAATTATATAATTATAGCTAGTAAAGCCTATATAAGCGTTAGTAGACCTAGATAAAAGAAAATAATCTACTATATTACTATATTAAAGATATTAAACTAAACATTATATATTTAAGGGTCTTTAGCTATATAGCGTTCCTAATAATAATTATAGTATTAGAATATATTAAGTTATATAAGATATAGTTACCCTTTAAGTAGAGAGCTTATATTAGCTACCTAGTAAGCTATAGGTCTACTTAATAATACGTTATATAGATACTATTAATTAGATAGAATAAACTAATAGTATTAGCTAATATATAGTTTAATAAGTTTATAAGCTATAATATAAAAAGAGAAGAGTAAGCCTAGCTAGTCTAAATATATAGCTATAATATCCTTAAAGATATAGCTATAACCGACGTTATAAATAGTAAGGAACCTAAAACCTTTAAGGTACTAAGTTTATTTAACGATAATATAGATACTAATTAAACGCTAGAAGAAGTAATTACCCTTTTATAGGACCTATTGCCCTTATATACTCTAGAAGATTAGGGATTAAAGACGCCCTTATAGGGATTATATAGATATATATATCTTTCCCTTTTAGAAATAGTAAGCTTAGGGATAGAGATTTAATATTACCCCCTCTATTTAATACTATATTTAATATAAAGTTACTAAACTCTATACCTCCTACGCTTATAATAGATACTATAGCTAGTAACCCCTCCTATATCTTATTAAGGAGATAGCTTAAAGACGCGATACTTATATTAAACGACTCTTCTCCTTAAGATAAACGTAATAATATACCTTTTAACCTAAGGGGTAAAGGAACGATTATAGTATAGGTTTAAGAAGATAACCCTTAGTCCGAACCGTATACCCTTAACCTAGCGGTTAATAGGGCTAGCCTAAGGATATTATAAATATAAAAATAATATAGACAAAAAGATACGTTATAAGGGATTAACCTAAGTAGCGTTATTAAAGGAAAACGGGCTTATAGGCCTAAGAGATCCCTTATTAATAATATTATCGTAAAAGTAAGTAAGTATAAGCTTTACGTTAACGATATACCGCCTCCCCCTACTTTCTTTAACGCGGTAATAGCTTTAGAATTCGTATATAAGTAGAAGGAAGCTATAGACCGCGAAATAAAAGAAAACCTAGTAAGGGGTATATAGAAGACTATCTTAAAAGCTATTATTAAATAGAAAGGTTACTTCCTAATCCCCTTACGTTAGGTCTTTATATATAAGACCGATAAATAAGGGTATATTATATACTTTAAAGCACGTATTATAGTTTATAGAGACCTATAACCTAAAGGTAACGAGGATATATATATAGCTACGCTATAAGTATAAATATTTCGACTATTAATAGCCTTCTACTACCTTAAGGACTTTAAGACGGAATAATATAACGTAAAATAGTATTTCTATATATAATCCTACGCTAAGAAGTCTATTACTAGCCTCTACTAGGATTCTTAATACCTAGGCTATACCTAAAGCTATTAAAAGTACTATATAGGCTCTATATCTCCTTAAAGCTATAGTTTAAAGAGATATCTAGTTTCTTTACTAAACTAAGAGCTTAGTAGCTAGTAGAAGACGCCTACGTACTAGTCTATAAGGGCGTTATTATCTTTATCTTTATAGATAATATCGTTATAATATATCCTAAAGTATAAAAATAAGATTAAAAAGAGCTATATAAGGCTATTATAAAGAAATATACTATTATATATATAAGAGAGCTATACTAGTTCCTTAGTATTAAGATTATAAGGGATAGAGATCTTAAGATATAGCTCTTATAAGCTTCCTATATCTTTAAGACCGCGAAGAAATATTATATACTTAATAATAATATCCTTTATAAGCCTAAGATCCCGCTAATAATAAAAGAGCTCGTCCCCTATAAAAAGTAGGCCTTAAAGGAAGAGATATATAAATATATCTCTTTAATTAGGTCGCTTATTTATCTAGTAATTTATACTAAGCTAGATATTATATTTATAGCCGGAAAGCTAGCCTAATATAATTATAACTCCGGGCTATACTATAGGCATAAAGCATATAAGTGCCTAGCTTACTTTTATTATACGAGAAACTACTATATCTACTTTATAGTAATAAACCTAATAAGGCGGCTAATATATATATCTAACTCCTTATATACTAATAACCTAGAGACTAGGAAGTCCTTATAAGGATATATATTCCTACTCCTTATTAGGCTAATTAACTAAAAAGCTATTAAGTAAGCTACTATAATAACGTCCTCTATAAAAGCTAAATTATTAGCACTCTTATAAATAGCTAAGGAATAAGTAGTATTTAGCCGGCTAATTAAGGAGCTTAGTATTAGTATTAAAGGGACTATAGAGCTCTAGTATAATAACCTTTAGACTATTAGGCTTTTAACTATATTAAGCATAAAGCTTAAGACGAACCTTAAGTATATTAATATTTATAGATACTAGCTTCGTTAAGAGGTATAGTAAGATCGGATATAAGTTAGCTAGATTATATTAATAGATAACCTAGCTAATAGTATAACGAAGGCGCTTATATACTAGAAGTATTAGAGCTTTATTAAGTAACTAAGACTAGTAATATAGCTAGAAGATATATTAGGAGATAATATACCTAACTACTATATTAAGGCGTAATATCTCCCTACTATAGTAAACTTAATAATCGCTAGATCCTAATAATAAAAGCACTACTATATATACTAAGATTAAGGGATTCTAATAGTATAGTTAGATCTTAATTTAGTTAAGAAACTATAAAGATCTAAGGGGTAAAAGTTAGCCTTATTTACTACTAAGAAGTAAAGTTATTACTAAACTACCCCTTAAATAGTATAATACTATAGCGCTTAAACTTATAATAATCGCGATAGCTTTACTAAATTAAGACTAATTAATATAAGGAATATATTATTAAAAAGCCTACCTTTAAGATTACTTTTATCTTAAAGGACTACGTCGTTAGTAAAGGTACTACGGTACCTAGGCTACTTAAAGGGATGCCCTGCTATACCCCTCCTTATAAGGAAGGTTATAAATATAACTTATAACTATTAGTTAAACGGTAAGAGTAGGTTATATAACCCTATTAATCGTAAGTTTAACTCCCCCTAGAGCGGAAGAGTAGGTTATATAACCACGCCCTAAGGGGAGCGCGGGCAATAAACTTAGGGACCTAAGGGGAGAGGAAATAAGGGGCTTCTCCCTATATCCTCTCCCTTAGGTCCTAGCTTTTATTTTTTATATATACTATTTAAGCACTAGCCGCTAAATAAACTTCCCTTTTACTATATTTACCTTCCCTTTTTATAGGATATAATTAGGAGCCTCCTTTATTTTTAGATAACCTCCTTAAATAGATAATAAAGTAGCCGAATTTAATATCGGAATAGCCTTATATTTATTAGATTAAACGCTCCTCTACCTATTACCCTACTATCTAGAAGCTAGGGTAGTAAGGGGGTATATTAAGGAGAGTAAGTATAAGAGGCTATAGTTATACCTAGTAGACCTAATAGTTATATATAAGGAAGCCTACTTAACTAATATAACTCCCTTAGCCTAAGGATATTATATAGGCCTAACTTAGGTATAGGAATATCTTAATACCCTCTTTTAGCTAGCTATATATAGTTACTATACCTATATAGGCCCCTCCCTTATCCTAATAGATAGACTAAGATATATATTACTAAATTTACCTTTCTATAACCCTACTTCTTCTACTATGCTCTTAAGCCCCCCTGCTTAAGAGTTATAATCCCCTTTTCTCGCGAAGAGAGATTTAAAAGAGGAAATTAATAATAAGGGGTTAGATAGGCGGGGCAAGGTTATTTAAATATTTTAAGGATAATAATAATAATAAAGAGTTAATAATTATATAGTTATAATCCCCTTCCTTTCCTCTATCTAACGCCCCCCTTTATATCCCTTTAGCCTCTTAATTAATAAAGGAAATCCCTTATAGCCCAGATCTCGATGTCCGTTAGATAACTAGAAATTTTTCCCTTCTTTTCCAGCCGTTGCCGGCGGTCCCGTCTTATCTTTCGCCACCTCTATGGGAAGCTATCGCCACTTCTGCTTCCCCTCTTTCCCTCCCATCTTCCTTCTCAGCTTCTTATGCCGCTTTTCTCCGAGCCCTGCGAAATCCGGCCACGCTTCGCGATGGTAATAGGTAAGCTGATATCTACTTCACCACGGCAACGCCTGCTCTCTGCATCACATTTCCGTCGTGGCACCGAGAATATCTCTACGGAAGCATCGGGACATTGCTCATTCCCAATGATTCTATTATCCTTAACGGTCTACTTTATCATCCTAACCATTCCTGCTTCGGCAGAGAAGTTGAAGGTTCTAAAGGTTGGAAAAACTTCGGACGGGTCAACTGCGCCCATCCGCGGCTGGAATTCTTTCGGTCTCCAAGCGGGAGCGTACCTTTCGGACTCTGACTTCAATGAGGCTCATGTCAAACCAATCTGTGATCGCCTAGCAAGCGATCTCCAAGGCAAGTATAAGCTTTGCGGCCTCGACTCGGGCTGGTCTATCGGTGACCATGGCGATGACCACGGACGCATCTTGTACGACCCGGCCAAATTTAAACTTCCCGACTTCGCTCGCTACCTGCATAAAAAAAGCTTACTCCTTGGTGTCTATGTCGTTCCCGGCGCATTCGTGAAAGACGCAGATAAGACAGTTGAAGGCACATAAACCAAAATCAAGGACATTTGCCAAGCCTCATCAAACAACGGAATGGGACGATGCAACATAAGCTCAGAAGTGGTTTGACTCCAACGCAAAGCAACTTGCCAGCTGGTACGTCCTGACGTTTTCTCTACTTGTGACGAGAGTAATAACGGGAAAATAGGGGTGTCGACTACATCAAGTTGGACTACATCACCCCAGGCTCCCCGGCTAACGGCGTGAACCTGCCTGGTGACGAGAGTCGTGAGGTGCGAATGTGGTACAATGCCATTAAAACGTTACGCAAAATGATCACTTTATCCATCTCCTGGAAGCTTGACCGAAGCAAGAAATATTTCGACATATGGCGTGCCAACGCTGACTCCATGCGCGTGGACCAAGATATCCAAACCTACAAGAAGACGCCGCGTGTCTCTTGGGAAAATGTTTTGCGGACTCTTAAAATTATTTGGAGTGGGTTAACGCTGCTACGTCTCACTACGACACTGTTGGCATCCATCCGAACCTTGATAAAATGTATGTTGCCAATGCAGAAGATATAAGTGGTCTCACCTACGACCAGCGCAAGTCTGTCTTTATCCACTGGATCGGCAGCTCTGCCGAGCTGAATCTAGGCGATGATTTGACCCGCCCCGACCATCAGGGAATAGCTCTCCTCACTGACCCAGACGCACTATCGGCTGCCGACTTCACCGCCAACTACCCGATGCAGCCACGAAACCCCGGCTCAGGAGGGAATTCTTGGAAGAATCAGAATGCCTGGATTTCTGGCCCGTCACGTTCCGGGGAGTTCATTGCAGTTCTTGCCAACTATGACAAATCTGGCAGTCAGACCATCGCTGCGAAATGGAGTGATCTCGGAGTATCAGGCACATACGAGTGTTTCGACGTCTTTGGCAAATCGACTAGAAAGGTCGATTCAGAGCTTCGTGCGGAGCTTAAAGGTTTTCAGAGTGTTATGTACCGCTGCACCACTCGAGCTTATACTTGAAGCTTCCTATCAGAAATAAAGCAGGATGTGTTTGCCCAGCCAACCCCTTAGGCTATTCGGCCAACCCGCCTTATAGGGCAGTGCGGCTTGTAAAGGCGCAGCGCCAATGACGTATATTTAGGTATTGTATTGAAAGTGCGCTAGGGACCTAACTAGAGGTATCTAGAACTTCGATGGTAGGTGAACAGGAAAAACCGGAGAGTCCCGGGGAAACCCTGGTTCTCTTTTTCGAGCTCGTCCGCCTGTACACCGGTTCGAGGCTGCTATACCGTAGAGACTTCGTGATAGGTGCGTCAGGGAACATAGCAGTAGGACGAACGACCCGTCTTACGCCCCGAGCAGCTCTCCCCTCTTTGTTACTGTTATACGTATAAACGAGTCGCTATCGAATCAACTATGCTGCATCACACCACGACGAATCTCCTCTGTGCTCACAGCGCCTGATCAACTTGACGAACAGTCTGTTGAATGGGAGTCTGCATACTTTTCATGGCAGCCGACTGACCCTTGCGGAGTTTGATGTCGTGCTTCTTCAAGCTCGAGCTGGGGTATTCCGTCTTAAGGCCGATGGGGTGGCCGAGACTAGTTACGTTATAGTGGAGGCCTCCTCTCTCGCTCTTGCACGAGAAGTAGTTTGGAGCCTCTGAAACAAGAGAACACTCGAATGAATAAGCCCACGTGAATGCATGATGATGGCATCATCGTACCTTTGCCTTCTTGTACCTTTCTGCTATTCATATTGGTAGCGACAAGGTCAAGATCTTCTGCTTCGATGCCTGCTCGGCTTAGCGTCTGGCGGATATCATCATCGTCCTCTTTCAAGTCCGGGCTGAGTCAGTTGAGCCTTAATGCTTCGAGTCGTGGAAAAGAAGAAAAAATTGACGACGATTGGGATTTTAATCCGGCTCCACACGTACTGTATATCACTAGGCCATGGTGAAATCGAAATTCTCCTGAATAGCATATTAGGAAAAAGGCGTCGGCAAACCCGACCAAGCGAATTTTTCAGGCCCATCTTTGCCCATCAACAAGGACATCCCACGGATGGATGTCACTGTTCGGAAAGGGGAAGAAAACAATGTCGGCATCATTCTAGGAATAGGGGACAACATGGACGCATTGCTCACTAGTCGCAATCCATGGTCTTGTCTCCAACAGACCGGCCGAAGATGGCGAGAATTCGGTGATAGGATGCCATGGCCTGCATAGGCAGTGCGTGCCCAAAGAGTCTAGATGGGCTCCAGGTGGACGACGCTGCGGATGAAGAAGGCTGGGACTCTATTGCTGATCAGCTAGATAGGAGAAGGGTTAGCGTTAGTTTTATCCACATCATGGGTACGGATACATAAGTTACTCCTATGTACGGAGTAGGCTTATCACGACTCTTACTGCATATATAAGCCTTTACGGCTGAGCTGCGGTGTCATCCATGGCGACCAACCATTCAACTGGACCAACAAATAACGCATCCAAAATATTGCAGATGCTTTTTGGAAAGGGTGAGCGTTAGTTTTATTCCCATCATAGATACATATGCCTATGCATGAAGTAGACTCGTTTCGATTCTTACTTCTTACTGCATACAGGCCTGTCCAGGTAAGCTGCACTACCACCCATGGCTACAAACCATCTAACTAGACTGAAAGACTCTAGGCATGCACATTTCAACTTTCCAGAAACATAACCTTCCATTCAAATGATCTCATGCTTCTATCACTTCATTACTGCGTTCAATAGCCGGCTTTCGTTATCTTCGCGCAGTAAGTGAAGATGCATTAGCAAACCCTCAACTCGAATTACCCCGTAGACATACCAAGCTACCCCTTCGGCAACAATGGCAGCCATGATCGGTCAGGCATTGAGGCTTGACGACCTTGAAACCTATCTCAAGCAGGTAGGCATATCGCCAGACACGGTCAAGAAGATTTTCGAGGACGTAAGCCAGAGCGCTCAGAATCTACGGCCCGTCGACTTCATCGGTTCCGTCCCGCTTTTCAGGCCAACCTTCGTTAAAGATGCTGGTCCTAACATGGCGAAGCTCGAGGACTTTGGGCTTCTCAATGCACCAGAGCCGCGCCATCCGCAGCGCCCGTTCCGCATGTTCGACGTGGATACTTGCAACCTTGTCGACTTCCCATCTATCGGCGTGCTGGACCAATGCTGCATGCTATCACACAGATGGAAGGGAGCTGAGGTGACTCTAGCCGACGTCTATGATGCGATATCTGACAAGGCCGATGGAACTTCCAGGACTAAAGGAGGCGTCAGGAAAACCCACGTTCAACTAGTCCTAGATCGTTACAGATTGCCCACCAGATAGGCGCCGGCATAAGCATCGAAGACCTCTCGAAGAAGCGTCTCAGCGCCAGGGCGACGAATACAAAGCTCGAGTACGCCAGGGGCAGCGCAGACAAGGCGAAAGCCAAGCTTAAATTTGCTGAAATTGAGAGAACCATCTTTCATAATATCATCGACCGTATGAAGGACGAGATAGATGACAAGACGGAGGCCAATGTTGAAAGAGACAACCCCGGGCTAGAGGATGCCGACTTGTCATGTGCAGAACGGTCCAAAGTCAAAGACCTTTCCACGGCAAACCAAGTTGTTGAAGAGGCCAGGGATGAAGCTCTCAAAGCGGCAAGCGATCTCATAGCGGCAGAGAAAGAGCTAGATGACGTTCGCAAAGATGTCGACCTCTTCACCGAGAATAGCCAGCTTCGGGAAGCTGTGGACGGGATGGTTCGTCTCCTACAAAAGTGGAAGTCTGCCATCAAGATTGAGCAATCAATTGGGCGGGCCCGGAGTATCTTCAGGGAAAAGCCCTTCCGAAAGTGCGAGAGGTGCTACTTGCGGCTCGACACGTGCTGTATTGACAAGAAGAACGGCGGCGAGCTGTCCGATTCACTGTCCCTCATGGGAGACTGGTACGCGCAAGCCGAATTCACCCTGGTGCAGCTTGATAGCAGGTTCTCCGAGTCCGAGGCCGTCGTCGACTGGCAAAGGTTCCAGGTGAAGGAGAAGGAAGAAGAATGTAGACGGATTCCAGCAGACGCGATTCGAAGCTTCCAAGACATCCGCTCTTGGCGACCGGAGTGGTCGGAGAGAGGCTGGACGCTTCAGGAGCTTCTCATGAGCAAGACGACGTTCTATGTCGACGGCGACTGGTCACCTTTGAGCCGACCCGTCGATGATCTCGGCCACTTCTTCTATCTGATCCCGTATATTTCCTTGTACGTCCCGTGCTGACACGGTGAACACGTATTCGGACTCTGCCGACGTGCTTCACGCAGGCTGGGACCTCGCGGGGCTCGCCGGCGTCATGCAAGGACCTGTGACGCTCAGCGAGTATGGGGGTCTCGACGAGGTGCTACGATGGGGCCATTTTGGCCCTCGGGCTGTGAACTCGGATCCGCAGCCGGTAGACCAAGGGTTGCCTAGGTCAAAAGAGCGCAGCTCCTCATCGCCATTCTTGACGGTTTAGGGCTTCAATTTCCACGAGATATAAGCGAAGAAACAGCCAAATCGGATATAGCCTAGGCCGTCTTCTTCGCCGCCACTTAACTGATTGGAAGAGGCGTCTTGGGCGCCAGTGACGCCAGGAGACGACTCCTCCAGGAGCTCAAGACTCGTCTCCCCAAGCCCTTGCCGCTCAGCATCTGCCATAACGAAGGCGTGGCAGAGTCATAGGCTCGACACGCCATCAATTTTCTCCTACGGCTCCTTGTTACCGAGGTCGAATATCTTATCAGGCAAGACAGGCGTTACGTTGCCGACTTCGGCGGCGTTTAGGCGCTAGACAAGTGGCAGTAAGGGGTCTAGCAGACGGGCTTCTCTACGCACGAGATTATGGCTCCCTCGTGCAAGCGGCGGGCTACCGTGCCGGCCGACCACGTGTACGCACTCATAGGCGTTCTCGATATGCGTTTTCTGATATTTCCAGCCGAGGGCCATTGCAAGGCCATGTCTCAGCTTCTCGACGAGATTATCATCGCCTAAAATGACGTCTCCGTCTTTAACTGGACTAGCATGAACATAGGAAGCCCTATCCGTGCCGCGCTCTCTACCCTTCATCGCACGAGGCCTTTTCTCGCGACGACCGCGGCTACCAGTACAACCTGCTGCTGTCTCAAGAGATCAGGGACAAGATAGACGACGTCATGGTCACATACAACAGCGTCGTGTCGGTGCTGCGCGAGGGCATCGACTTCGTAAGAAAAAAACAGCGCAGAGACCTACCCTTTACTTGCATTCGCAAGATCGTCGAGATCGTACAGAACCTCACATTCCAGGCGCTGAAGCCCGAGCTTGAGAATGTGGGGAGGGTCATGAGGTACATCTTGAAAGGGTGCCATGACCCGCCGTCTTCGCCTCATCCCGTCGATGCTCGCTCACCCAGTCTTCCTCTCGTGACTGGCACAAAGGGATTCAAGTTTCCAGGCCTCACAAAGGGACTCAGGCTGTCCTCCAAAAAGGTCAAGTCAGAACCCGTGGAGCCGGACGACCAGGACTTGCTCCCATCCATGTTCCACTCGGCGGTAACTGTTCATATGTTTTGATGGAAAGCACGGATAAGTTGGCTGCGCGGGAAACGACGGGACGGCTTCTGGCTTGGAAGATATGTTCAGGGCAATTGCTACACCGGCATGATTTTATACAGTCTCTGATAGGCCAGTCTCTTTTTTGTTAATTGTTAGTGCATTTAGGATTCTGCCAACAGCTCCCGTTGTACCTTATGCTTAGGGGCAGACTATCCGGCACACGGGTCTGCCTGACCAGTACACAATAGGTGGGGAGACTATACTCGAGTGCACCTAAACAGGAAAGGCGGATTAAAAAAGTAGTACATCAACAGGTATATTTTTCTATTTCATATAATCTTTAACAGCTTAAGTGGGGGTTAGTTAGTTTTTAAGTGATTAGGCTATGATTAGGGTGAATTTAAGGCTTACAGTTAACTATAGGAATATCTCATTTGAAATATCAAAAAAAGTAAAGAATTAAAGTTATACAAAGACTCTGTCCTATGCACCACTGTCTCCCCACTCTTTGTGTGCTGGCTAGGCAGACCCGTGAGCAGGATAGTCTGCGGCGCGACGCATCTTCACTAGTTACCGGTAGCTATTGCACTGAGTACCTCTTTGTCGTATATCAAGCCGACTTAGAACGATTGATTGTTTGCGAATACCTGTTAAAAAATCAACTCAACAAATACTCCGGGCCAGGAACCCACACTCCTCAACACTGCAATCTTGGATGCTTTCCATCCCCCAAGGGCGCCCTATATCTCTCGGTTACTTTTCCCGTCTCCTTAAGCCGGCTGCCGCCTCTTACCTCGGCTTGGAGGATCCTTACGGCTTCGCGCTCTTGGCCGCCACTGGCTTCTTGGACCGTTTGCTGCGGCGCGAGTCTGAAGTGCTCGTCTTGCGTGTTTCCAAGTGCGGACCTCGCAACGTCTGGCCGCGTGGCGGTGCATCACTTGGCCGCGTGCCAAATTCGGGCAACTCTCCAGCGAGCCTCCGACTCCTGCGCGGAGCAACACCAGAACCAGGCTCTTCCGGCACTCGTTTGGTTCGGGCTGGCCCACGACGCCGTCCTTGGGTTTTGGCGGATGTTGGTGCGCGCTGCCGGGACCGAGTGTGTCCGCGAGTATCGCTTTTGCTCCGTGCCGCGAGCTTCGTGACTCTTCCGCCACGAACCTTGCGGGAAGTGTCCTCTGGCTGAGGCGATGGTTCTAGCTTCCAACGGTTCGCGCTACCTCGGCCATGTTTGGACTCGTATTCAGCAAACATGCGGTCACGCATTTCCTTTGCTTTCCGGAGCATAGCTTGGCTTCTCTCCTTCTCCTCTTGGGTCCGAGGGGGAGGGTTGTTCAGGATATCTATTCGCCGTGCTTCCGAAGCCGCCTCTGCTTCTCGATCCATGGCGTCGATCTGCTCTTGTGTCCAACCCTCGAGGCGAAGATGCAGATCCCTCAAGCTACGTTCGCGCTGCTTCTTTTTCAGATAGTACTGGTCCGGATCGATCCATCTTAGGTCCCGGATTGCGTTCCATTCTTGCTCGTTTCGTCTCTCGCATTCTTTGTTCTCACATATCGATCTTTCATGAAGAACCAGCTGGCGCTTCCTTGATTCGTACATGGACTCAGAGTATTGGCTCCGAACTGCGTCCCACTCGACGAAGTCCCAATGCCAGTCATTTTGTGACCAGCACTGTGGCCCCTCCCGGGCTTGAGTGAGCGCCTCGGTTGGGGTAGGGGGGTAGGTGCTCATATTGCTCCCGTCGCTGCGCAAGCTGCTGGACGGTGAAGACACGGCTAGTGGTCGAGTGTCGGGAAGCTCGGCCGGCCTTGTCATGATGTCGTGCCACGTCACGCCTTGGGCAAGTAACGCTTCGTCTATGTCCAGTCGCATATCCCTTAGGGCTCCCCAGCGTTTGGCGCTTTTGGCGGATTTCCTTCCAGTGTTGCTAATAATATGACAATAAAGTAGTATACTGCAGTATATACAATACAATACGCGATTTCTCATATTGTACCAATACAATATGCTCGCCGTCATATTGTGACGATACAATATGGCGCCTTCCATACTGGCAATATATGGCTTGTATTGTTTGTATTGGTTGGTGGTCATTCGCCTTTCCGTTCCCCAATTCGCGCCAATATGATGACGCGTCAAAATACACGCGTAAATATAAGCATGTTCTATGTATTGTTTTTCGTCTGGCGGACCTCCAGGACGTAAAATCTTCCTATTGGCGCACGGAAACGCGTAAATGTATGTATAAATCCAGACCTACAGGGTAGCGGCTCGCCGTCCAAACACTGTTTTCCTCCTCAACCCCGCTTTCCCACCCCAGGACTTACAAGCAATCTCGATGCCTCAACAACGCCTGCCTTTTGTTCAAACATCGCCGCGACGGGATTCGTCAATATCAGACGAATACTCGGAGATTTCCAGCCCACGGTTGCATGATCCAGATGAGACCCAAACCACTGAATGCCAATCGTCGCAACCTCGCACGGCCTCCATAAACCCTTCGGCCAAGCCAAGAACATCATGGGTCTTTTCTCATATGCCAGACGAGGACATAGAGACGAAATACTACAATCAGCGGACCGGAAAAGAAGAATGGCGCTGCAAACACTGTGACAAAACGTATTGCTGTTCCGGTGGAACTGCGGCCCCAGCCAAGCACCTTACGGATCCTCCTCCTGACGGTCACGGCCTCCCAAAAGGCGCGCCACGAACAGCCAAAGTCACGAATATACGAACTATTCTCGAGATAGCTCGTGTTATGGCCAAAGAACATCCCCGAAAACGCCGTCGGCTCAACGATCAATCCGGAGACTCGATCGACCCAGACCAGCTCGAAGCTTTATACGTAAGGTTTATTACGTCCTGTTCTCTCCCATTTAGGCTTGTGGAATGCCCAGAATTCCGAGCATTCTTAGCCTACCTCAACGCCGATATCGATACTTGGCTTCCAGATACACACGAGACCATCAAGAAATGGATTATGCGGCAGTACGAAGGTCAGAAGGAGAAGGTCAAGCAGCGCATCCAGTCAGCAAAGTCAAAAATTCATATCAGCTGCGACCTATGGACTTCCCCAACTCTTTGGCCATCTTAGGCGTAGTTGCTCATTACGTTGCAGAAGACAGTCAGTTGGAACACCATGTCTTGGCTTTGAAAGACATCGACAGTGAGCACGACGGATATCACCTGGCAAGGGCAATTTTGGAAGTGGTTGATGACTGGGGTTTGCTTCCAACCTTGGATATTTTGTGATGGACAATGCAGGCAATAACGATACAATGATGAGATCTCTTTCCTTGGTAAGTACGGCGCACTGTTTTTTCTGACTGGCCCTAACATCTACAGGCCTTCTACGTCGATATGACATTCGATACGATCCCAAATCTCACCGACTCCGCTGCCAAGGTCACATTATCAACCTTGCCGCCAAAGCTTTCTCTTCGTTACCGATAATGAGAAGCTCAAAGACGACGAACGTGATGGGCATAATGTGACACTAAAAGAGATCGAGGCGTGGCGGAAAAAGGGTCCCTTGGCAAGCTCCACAACTTCGTGGTTTTCGTCCAAAGTAGTGTTCAGCGTCGCCAAAGTTTCTGGCCATCAGCCATAATCGCAAGCTTGCGCGAGATAATGACACGAGGTGGAGTTCGTGGTACACCATGCTACGAGCGGCCTTGCATCTTAGAGGCGCAGTCGAGGGATATTCAACAAATGGGTGGAAGGAGATTGTGCCGGAGACGAGCTCTCCCGAGGAGTGGGTCATCCTCGAGAAGATCAAGTCTTTCTTGGAGAAGCTTAAAATGACGACAAAGGCCCTTGAGTCATCGTTTGCAACTCTTGACAATGTTCTCTTGGCTATGGACTTCGTATTGGCGCAATTTGAAGCAGGAAAAGAGGCACATATCGACGATCCGATTATGGCACCAATGTATAACTCGGGCTGGGCGAAGATGGATAAGTACTATTGTCTTACTGACGAATCGCCTGCCTACGTCGCTGCGATTGTGCTTCACCCTTCGCATAAATGGCACTACATACACGAAAACTGGAAGAAGGAGTGGGCTGACTCGTCAAAGAAGCTGATGGAGACACTGTGGGATGATTATAAACCTGTGGAGCCGCCTTCTCTATCTGAGGTTCCGTTGACGACCACGAACGAGTTCTTGAATTGGAGAAACAAGCACCTACAACCAGCACTTATCACAGACGAGTACGAGCGATATTGTAAGTCTGAACGGGTTTATGGGTTCACAAGCGCCCTCGCATGGTGGCTGGAGGAAACACAGCAAAAGAACTACCCATACCTGAGCAAAATGGCGGTGGATATACTGTCAATTCCGCAATGTCTGCTGAGCCCGAAAGACTCTTCTCTGGGGCAAAAATAACCATCACAGACCGTCGAAATCGACTTGGGAGTGATGTAATTCAGGCATTGGAGTGCTTGAAGTCATGGTTTGGGATACAGGATTTTCAGGGTGACGATATTTCAGCAACGACGGTTGAATAATGAGGGTCACGTGGGATATACGGGATATATTGTTTTACTGGCAATATATTGGGTCACTGGCAATACAATACAATATGGACCAATGCCATATTGCGCAATACAATACGCACCTCTTGACAGTACAATAATATTGCGAGGGGTCCATATTGCCAATATACGTATTGTTTATATTATTAGCAACACTGAATTTCCTTCTGCGTTGGTCCGGGTCCACGGCCTCTCGTACGCGGCGTTCGTCCTGTATTAGGGCCTCCTGCTGCGCCCACCAAACTTCGCCATAGTGCGTTCGAGCCCAGGCCATGAGTTCCTGATACGTCTTTCCCTTTGGCTTTGGCAGCTTCCCCTTCTCCCTTTCGGATTCCATGTTTCTCAGAGCTTCCTGGCGCTCAATGTAGACACGATCATTATTAACATTTACTCCCCAGTCGTAGAAGTCCCTTTCCTTGAGCATCACCTCGCGCTGCTCGTACCAGTCGTCGCCGTAATGTTTGCGACCCCAGGCCGTGTAGTTGTCGGTATCGCTGGGCTCTGGCTCCGGAGTCCATTGCCTGTCAAGTTGGACCTCGTCAAGGTCGCGGCCAGCATCGCGGTTGTCGGGCGGCGGCGCTGCTGGGTGGCAATCAGCCGCGCTCGAGAGCCGGGCCTGGTGGCGTGCGCGTGTGTTTGGGGCCATGGAGACGAGCGTTTGATGAGTATGAAGATGTAGGAGATTTGTGTCGCTGCGATTTGGGACAAGAAAGGTGACGGTGAGGGAGAGAGAAATGAAGAGAGCCAATATTACGGTGGCACATTAGCTAATATCCGGGAAAAGGGCCAAAACCTAAAGTCGTGAAACCACAAGGTCGTCAAACATAACGGCAAGGACTGCTAGAAAGCAAAACACTACTGGTTTTATAGCAAGAGGCTGCCATAAAGAGCACTAACGTTATCCGTACAAAGAGCACTATTAAGGGCACCACAAAAAGCACTTCCTTAACTTACAAAGAGCAACTATAACGAGCCCCACAAAAAGCACTTACAAAGAGCAACAGCAAAGACCAGTGTCAAGACGGGCATGGCTTGCAAAGGCGGCCTTGGACACATTTTCTTGATTGACATCGCAACTTTGGGGTTTGGCCCTGATGTGCGGCCGTACGATAACTGTCCAAATAACGTCATGCGCTCCCGCCTCGACCAACATGTGCGACCATAACCCATCCCCCCAAACTCTGGCCCTGTTCCCGGTAGCAATCAACTTGATCCTTTTCTTGTACAAGATGCCTCCAAAATGAACAACGAGCCGGGAACAGTCTTTGACCTCTTTCCTGAACCCGGAAACCATTTCGCCGCGGAAATCGTCGAGGATGACGCTAATCGCGACCGGTTCCGCGTGGACCCCGACAACGTCTCAAACCGGTTCTTGAGGATCAGGCTCAACCAGTCGGCGAAAATCCTCGGCCGCCTCGCAACATTTGGTCGCCTGCCTTTCACCAACGATGTGATGCTTCGCAATGGCTGCTTTTCCAAGACGGACCAATGTTATTTCGACTTCCATCCGACAACGAGGGAGCTTCTTCTCCACGACATATCCAAGTGCGACGATACACAGCTCTACAGCACGTGCCAAAAGTCTTCTAAACATATAGACCAGAGCCCTCGCCAGTGTGTCGTGCGACTTGACAGCGAGTACATCTTCCAGATCGGCTCGGCTGAATTTCGCCTCATACCACGGCGGGCACTGACTGAGCAAGACAAGGCGGCATTCGCCGCCGAGAGGCTCGACTTCGTCCGCCAAATACCCGAAGCGTCCAAGACGTTCCCGTTCCACCAGGCTATCGAGGAGCTCCAAGCTTTGGACATGCAATCCCGTTCATCGGAAACCACGGCTAGGTCTTATAATCTTCGGAGGAAGCATCCGGACCAGCGTAAGCCGGGCCACGAGATCACGCACGCACATTTACGGGATCTTGGAAGTGGAGGACAGGGTGCCGTCGACGAGGTCGTTGACCTTCACACTGGCGACCACTTCGCCCGCAAAGTCTGTCAATTCAGGGAGATACCGGTATGGCAGATATACGGGGAGAGTGACTTCAAGGCAAGAATCAAGAAAGAAGTGGATTTGGTCAAGAAAGCAGCCCATGTATGGCTCCCCACTCCCCATCCTTCTTACCACACGCTCACGATTTCACCAGCCTCATATTGTGCCATATCTGGGCCACCAAGGCTGGCAGACTGGACGGGAGCTCGAAATATTCATGCCGGTGTATCAAGGAAACTTCCGAATTCTACTGCAGCAATGCAAGCTCCAAGGAAAAGAGGCAGTGCGGGTCATGGCCCAAAGCATGTGCTACCAGATGCTGCTAGCACTCGAGCACGTCCACGCACGCGACATCATCCACCGAGACATCAAGCCTGAGAACATCCTCTACCAAGGCGACAAGTTCCTCCTCACCGACTTCGGCATTGCAAAATTCGTCGACACGTCGAGGACCATTGTCGGTACACGGCGGTACATGGCACCCGAGATGTGGATGAACGAGGAACAGACAACCAAGATCGACATATACGCGCTCGGTGCAACCTACATTGAGTGCCTGATGGAACTCTCACCCGAAGCAGATGGTCAGATCAGTTGGAAGCAATCGCAGGAATTTCTGCAGACACTCGCTGAACAGAATGCACCTCCTATGGCCTCAATGCTGGAGCTTCAGGCTGCCGATCGCCCTACGGCCTGTGGTCTCCTCGGCCAGTCCTCTCGTCAATGGTTATCAACCTCGCTGCAAAATTCACAGAACAACCTCACCTCGCCGAGTGTTGGATTTTCATCTTCCTTCCCAAGCCAGGCAAACGGAACGACGATAACCTACTCCGCAGCTCCTTCTGCCATGGATTGGAGCCGAACGGGGGCCGTAGCATTCCAGCTAGGAAATCCTCGGCACACCCAACAGCACGAGTTGCGGCCAAATCCAGTAGCACTTCAACCGCCAAGAGCGCCTTCCAAGCGTTCCACACGGTCTGGAATTAGAGGCAAGGGGTCTATCAAGTCTTCAAAGTCGGCACGCAAATGGAAGAAAAAAATGTCACGAAAGGGACGCAGTATTGCCTCCCAATCTGCAGGAGTACCAAAGCGGAAATCAAAAAGCAGAAGCCGACGCTGAGGGTCGAAAAGTATACGCGGGAGCACAAGAGATCGGAGTGGTAGGACTGACTTGGTATGAAAATTTTCTAGAGTCCGTATTTCCTGTTCGTTAGATCATCACAAAATTCGCGCTATACAGTGGCTGGATTATACAGTGGCTGGATTGGGACGGGGACCACAGTGAACATCAAACAGAGAGCGGTGCTCAAGATCCAAAAGCATTGGTCCATACCGCTGTCTACTTGATCCATCAAAGCTCCATAACCTCGTCCAACGTCAGATGCTCATCCAAACAACACTCGCTGCTTTGTTGCATCTTTGACTTGACAAACCCGTCAAGACCGCTCTTCTCCTCGTCACTCAGTAGAGACAACCTATCTTCTAGCACGCCGAGAGGACCATAGAACTTTTCATCAAGAAAGGTCCAGTAAATGTCATCAAACATGAAGCTCTTTCTCACCGCAAGACAGAACCAGAACATGCCATTTGCCATGGATTGTGCCATTGGTTCTGACAGCCGCTCCGACTCTTCCAAGGTCCCCGCGCATATGCGCTCGTCCTCGCAGGCTTTCATCTCTCTGAGGAAAAGCTCAAGGCGAGGCCGATACCGATCAAGAAACTATAAGAGATCCGATTCCCAAGCCTCTGGACTCTCGAACAACAGCCACCAAGGGGCCGCGTGAGAGAATTCCACTGGGGCAACGTATGTAAACTCCCAATCAATAACAGCCTTGACGGTGAAGTCGGAAGCCGAAGCAACAAGAACATTTCCGGGACGAAGGTCGTCGCAATATAGACGGAAAGGCCTCTGTTTGGTTCGAATCTGTCTTGCAATCCTCCGGAAAAGACACCGAGCAACGTACTTTTTCCGACAGTCATGCTCATCCGTTACAGCATCGTTGCGCTGGTATTTGAGATGAAGATACTGTTGCCTTGCAAGCTCTTCAAAGTATTCTGACGCTGTCTGGAAGCTGGGTTGGGCAAACTCGCTTGGCGGGTAGTTGCCAACGCGGACAAGCTCGTTCATGTTGAGCGTCAGAGGTCGCTTGGCTACCTTCCACTGGTCAACTTCATGGCCGATGGCTCCTATGCGTGGAAATGGCAGCTTGTAGAGCTCCAGCATAATGTCCGCCATTGCCCGATAGGCTCGACTTAGTTCGGGAGAGGAGACGCCTGAGCCAGGATTCGGCAGGCACTTGGACAAAAGAGTGCCCTCGACAAAGGTAGAAACAGTATAAGGGCCACAGGCCCACATGCCGGTACCGAGAATCTGCGGGATCGGAATCTTTGTCCGTGGGGTGAGATATGCCATGACAAGGAGCTCGTCGTTTGTCTTTTCAACCCGAAACCTGCTTCGGCCCAAGATTGGGAACCGGACAATGACCTTGAAACCATCCTCAAAAGTGACTATGCTGCATATGTTGAAGGCGCCAGTGATAAGACTTGAGGCTTCTGTTGGTTCTTGATCGGGCCGATGCTTCTTTGCCAGCTTGAGGGCCAAGGCCGGTGATGCTCCCAGGAGGATTCTTAGCCAGCTGGCAAAAAGTCGCTGCGACTGCTCCTCTGCACAATGATCCCAGTCCATGCTGCGGCGCGGTGTTGCCGGAGATGAGGCGGGAGACCCATGCGTACTTTGTGCGGACAAATGATCAACATGGAAAGGGACAAGGGCAGCAGCGGTGAAGGGCGTTGCTGTCCTAACTCCTCGGCGTCTCTTCGGTTAACTGAGGAGAGGAGCTCCTGTCAGCTGCCACCAGCACCTCCATGAGTCCATGGCATAATTATAGGGTCCACTGCCAGGTCATCTGTTGGAGTGTCACTTCACTTTTACCTACACAACCCCGTGGTTTCCTCGCAGCTACATACCGTCTCGGCAGTTGGCTCCCACCACGACTGTATAAAAGCCTCCATCAACCTCACAACTTAAGCACAGATGTTCACGCAACTGATGATTAAGGATTCCCGGAAGGTTTTGATTGCTGGCTAGCATAGGTATATTAGTATCGACACACGTCACAATTAGCTTGACTCTCTCGCATCGCGGAGTGATGGAGCAAATCCATCGGTCCACGTCTCAAATACCATCGTGATATTCAAGGAGCCTTTTCTCTAATAGACATAATCTTGCCTCATCCATTACGTCCACGGCCAGAGCGGGGGTCAGGAGCCAGGCGAAGATGATGAATACTTACCTGGCATGTCTTGGACCTGTATCACCACTGCTAAACAATCACGCTGAGGGCTTGCGATGAGATATCAGAAACTCAAAGATCAAGGAGGATACCTTGATGTTCAAAGTCCCGTTTGGGTAGTCGTGGCCATGGCCATTAATATTGACATTTCGGAGCAAGCCGTCGGTACCAGCACGCCGCCACTCGACGTCGTGAATTTCGTCGGAAATGTCCTTTGTCCTGGAAGCGGAGCATCGGTTTCTTCGCGTCCAATGGGAGAGCCAAGCGGGGATCGAAGGCAACGGACCTCCATGGCCAGTTATGCCACAATAAGGTACCGTGGAGTCGTCCGTTCCATGAATCTCCATCATGGGGAGAGGCAGGCGAGGCGTATTACACTCGTTGGCGGTATTCGGGTCGTCATAAAGGCCCCCGAAACAATGGCCGAGGCTGCAAAGTATCGTCCGTGTTCACGTGAGCATGCCAGGGCTCCTACCAAGCCACCGCCGTTGGAGTAGCCTGCGGCGTATACGCGTAACTCGTCGATGCAGTTGTTGTCCAAGATGTGGGCTACGAGGTTCGTGGCGAAGAGCTTATCATCTACGCCTTGAGCAGCGTACGACGGGCCCTCCCAACTCCCCTATTGTCGTTGCCGTGCAGTCAGTGCCAGACGGAATTCAAGGGAGGCGTAGTCTCGAGGTTTGAGTACTGTCATACAGAAATATCGGCAGGAGACACAGTCACCATACCAGGGTTGATTTTCTGATCGGAGACGCCCGTCTGAGTCTCAAATCTTCTAGGGTCGCCCCCGGCACCGTGATAGGCAATCAGAAGAGATGCGGGGAGGTGGGCGTTGTAGTTTGAGGGAAGGTGAACGCGGAAAGTGCGCGTTTGCTCGCCGCTCCTCAAGCTGAACTCTCGACTTTCTGGCGTAAAGGTGTGCGGAACACCGCATCTGGAGGCCCTCGTTTTTTTAGAGCGAGTACGCGCTCTACATGTACAGATATGAGTCCTAAAAGCAAGCCGAGTAAGCGGGCTGTAGACGCAGGATTTGTTATTAGCCCCTTGTCACAATTCGGTTGGCGTCTCTGGTAGTCTGCCATATGAGCTCACTGTAGAACATTGGGGGTATCGGCAGCGATACTTGTATGCAATTGTTGTAGAAACTCGCCGTCATCCACCCGAGGAGAAAGGAGTGATAGGTGCTCGGGACCGATGCACAGTTGGGGCTTGGTTGGTATTGATATCAAATCTCAGCGGCACAGCCAGCTTCGGAATTGAACCGATGTCAAATGTCTGGTCCGGGTCTTTCATTGTGCATATAGGAACGCGAGAGCCCGGCCTTGTCTCCAAGTTCACCTTGAGCTGTCTATCTCAACAGAAGGGCAGTTGAGCCGAGACTTGGCGCGGCATATAAACGTCATAACAGCGACTTTCTCGGATAAAAGAAGCCAGCCGACAAACGTGTCTTGGACCACGGGTATGTGACTGAAATCCGCGACGCAAAATCGTGGAAGACGTTTGTGGATATCGATAAGTTTCCTCGTCCACACGGTTGCTCGCCATGGGAAATGTTGTCTCTGCTCCACCTGTCCTCGCCATTTCGCTGCACGGCGTATGATGACATTGATGTGGCATGGTGATCTGATTCTTCTCGTTTTCCTTTTGGCTCCTCATTCCTTCTCAATATTGTCTTTCAATGCTGATAAGCATTAAGCAGGCTATCTTCTTCCAAGCTCTATTGTTTCTGCGTGAATTTGGCATTCGCAGCTCAAATGTAGCCACCTCGCCTTTCTGCACCAGGATTCTAGAGCCGTGGAAGGATGGTGGGCTGTCGAGGTCTGCGTAAACGAAGCATGAGTGATTCCTCCACGGTGAACTGAGGCCGGTCAGATGAAGTCGTCCAGGCAGCAATTGTGCGCTGTAAATTCTCGGTGGGTGACAGGTGGTTCCAGTAAAGCTAGTCCACTTCGGCGCCCGGCACGGGGTTGATCCGGCGCGACAGTGCTCCCGTCGCAACACCAAACGGCAGCAGCTGTCGGGCGACGATGGAAATCATCACCAGACCGGGAAAACGGACGAGAAACCCCAAACCATCCCCGTTCGCCACACCCCTCTAGGCTCGCGCAGGGCTCGCAACGGCGGCGGAAGAATGGTCTTGCAGAGATGCAGGCGTACACGGAGCTCGCGGCTCCCTCAGCCGTCACCCACTCTCTGAGCTTGCCTCTGACGTCCGCCACGGCAAACAACCTCGTCGTGGCCAAGGGCTCGCTGCTGCAGATATTCGCCACAAGGTCCATCTCGGCCGAACTCGACCCCCACGCCCAACGGGACGAGACGTCCAAAGCCGAGGCCCAGTTCGACCATCGCGCCAACGACGACGATGGCCTCGAGTCCTCCTTTCTCGGCGGCGACACCATGCTCGTTCGCACCGACCCCTCCACAAACACAAAGCTCGTCCTCGTCGCAGAGCTCCCGCTCGCCGGCACTGTCATTGGCCTCGCCCGCATCAAGCTCCAGAAGACCGCCTCTGGTGGCGAAATTCTGCTCTTGGCCTACAAGGCCGCCAAGATGAGCCTGATCGAGTGGGATCCCCGCAAGGGTTCCCTCGAGACAACCTCGATCCATTACTACGAAAAAGACGACCTCATGGGCGCCCCCTGGGAACTGTCCCTGGGCGAGCACGTCAACTACCTCGAGGCCGACCCGGGCAGCAGATGCGCCGCTCTCAAATTCGGCTCCAGGAACTTGGCCATCCTGCCCTTCACGCAAGCCGAGGAGGACCTTGAGATGGACGACTGGGACGAGGATCTCGACGGCCCTCGACCGACAAAGGAACCAACTGGAAACGTCAACGGGGACGCCGCCTATACTCCCTCCTTTGTTCTGCGCCTCCCGCTCCTGGACCCCACCCTGCTTCATCCTGTCCACCTCGCCTTTTTGCACGAGTATCGCGAGCCCACGTTCGGCATCTTGTCCTCCACCGAGGCACAGGCCTCCGCCCTCGGTCTCAAAGACAACCTTTCCTACAAAGTCTTTACACTTGACCTGAAGCAGAGAGCATCGACAACCATCCTCTCCGTTACAGGCCTACCCCGAGATCTCTACAAAGTTGTCGCGCTCGCTGCACCAATAGGTGGCGCCCTTCTCGTCGGATGCAATGAGCTCATCCATATTGACCAGTCGGGGAAACCAAACGGCGTGGCAGTGAATGGCATGGCCAAGCAAGTCACCTCATTCAGCCTTGCCGATCAATCGGATCTCAACTGGCGGCTCGAAGGCTGTGCCATTGAGCAGCTTGCCATTGAAAACGGCGAACTGCTCCTCGTCCTCAACGACGGTCGGCTGGCTATCATCTCCTTCAAAATCGACGGCCGTACGGTATCGGGAATCACGGTCAAGTCTGTGTCGCTCGAAAACGGCGGCAACCTGGTCAAGAGCCAAGTCTCCTGCGTCTCAAAGCTAGGCAAGAACTCGTTTTTCCTGGGTAGCGAGTCCAATGACGCCATTGTGCTGGGGTGGTTGAGGAAGCAGGGTCAGGAGAAGCGCAAGAAGTCTCGCTTCCTTGATCCTGGTCTCGGCCTTGATGCCGATGACTTGGACTGGGATGACGAGGAAGAGGACGACTTATACGCAGACGACACCGAGGCCGCCAAACCGGCGCAGGACGCCAATGGAACGACAAGGCTCGGGGAAGTGACGTTCCGGGTCCAGGACACGCTGCTCAGCATTGCGCCGATACTCGACTTCACCTGCGGCCGCTCCTTGTCCCCTCCGACCGGCGATGACGCTTCCCTAGCCGAAGGTGTAGTCGCCGAACTCCAGCTCGCGTGTGCCGTTGGCCGGGGGAAGGCGGGTTCGATTGCGATTTTGAACCGCCAGATTCAACCCAAAATCATCGGCCGCTTCGAGTTCCCCGAGGCACGGGGTTTCTGGACCATGTGCGTAAAAAAACCCGTGCCGAAAGCATTGGGTGCCACCGCTGCAGTGGGCGGCGACTACGATACCCCAGGACACTACGACAAGTTCATGATTGTTTCTAAGGTCGACCTCGATGGCTATGAGACGTCGGATGTGTACGCCTTGACAGCAGCGGGCTTTGAGACGTTGAAAGAGACCGAGTTTGAGCCGGCGGCGGGCTTCACGGTGGAAGCTGGCACAATGGGGAAGCAGATGAGAATCATCCAGGTGCTCAAGTCGGAAGTCCGATGTTACGACGGCGGTAAGTCCCATCCATTGACTTTGGCAGCCTCGTGTCGAGGTGCGCTGACCATGATTAGATCTTGGTCTTGCGCAGATTCTGCCCATGCTGGACGAGGAGACGGGCGCAGAGCCGAGAGTGACGAGCGCCAGCATTTCTGACCAGCACCTGCTCTTGATACGTGATGACGGTAGTGTCTTCATTGCCCAAATGGATAGCAATAACGAGCTCGAAGAGATAGAAAAGGTCGATGGCGCTCTGCAGTCCACCAAGTGGGCGTCCGGCTGCTTGTATAATGACACGCTGGGTGTCTTTCAGCTGCCACTTGGAGACAAGGCAGCAGACGTGGAAGATTCCATAATGATGTTCCTGCTCAGCTCCTCAGGAGCCCTACATGTGAGTGGACAAACACTCAGCAAGATGAAAGCAAGGCGCCAAAAACTGATGACGCCAGATTTACGCGCTGTCCGATTTATCCAAACCCGTCTTCATGGCCGAGTCTTTTACGTGTATTCCCCCCATTCTCTCCGCGGGCTATACGGCCCGGAGAGGGGCGAATCGCGAGAGCATTGCAGAGATATTGGTGGCGGACCTCGGCGACGCCGTGTCACAATCCCCCTACCTAATTGTGAGTGCTCAGAAGCCCCAAGGACCGGACACCAACGTTGACATATACAGGTGCGGCACTCCACCGATGATTTGACCTTGTACGATCCCGTGCGGCACCAGACAGACGGGGCGTCGGATCTGGCATCGACTCTACTCTTTAAGAAGACGGCCAACGCTGTGCTTGCCAGGGGCCCAGAGGACACTCCTCAGGACGAAACCGCGGAGCCTCCACGATTTGTCCCGCTTCGCCGATGCACCAACGTCAACGGCTATAGCACCGTCTTTCTGCCAGGGCCATCACCGAGCTTCGTTTTGAAGAGCAGCAAAAGCGTACCCAAGGTGGTCGGGCTGCAGGGGCTCGGCGTGCGCGGCATGAGCACTTTCCACACCGAGGGGTGTGACCGAGGCTTCATCTATGCCGACTCGGAAGGGATCGCGAGGGTGACACAGCTCCCGGAAGCGACCAACTTTACGGAGCTTGGCGTCTCGGTGAAGAAGATTCCGCTGGACATTGATGTTGGCAAGATATCCTATCACCATCCCACGGGCACGTACATTGCCGGCTGCTCGGCCATGGAGCCGTTTGAGCTGCCCCGCGACGATGACTACCACAAGGAATGGACAAAGGAGGCGCTGAGCTTCCCACCGACAATGCCGCGGGGCGTGCTCAAGCTCATCAACCCCGTGACGTGGACGGTGATTCACTCGCTGGAGCTGGAGCCTTGCGAGTCCATCGAGAGCATGAGGACTCTGCAGCTGGAGGTGTCGGAGGAGACCAGGGAGAGGCGGATGCTCGTAGCCGTGGGCAGCGCGCTATCCAAGGGCGAGGACCTGCCGACAAGGGGCCGGGTGCAAGTTTTTGACATTGTGACCGTCATCCCCGAACCCGGCAAGCCCGAAACGAACCGGCGGCTCAAGCTGGTGGCCAAGGAAGATATACCCCGGGGCGGCGTGACAGCGCTGTCCGAGGTCGGGACGCAGGGATTGATGCTGGTTGCGCAGGGGCAAAAGTGCATGGTGCGCGGGCTCAAGGAGGACGGCTCGCTGCTGCCCGTGGCCTTTCTCGACATGAACTGCCACGTGGCGAGCGTGCGCGAGCTGCCTGGCACGGGGCTCTGTCTGCTGGCCGACGCCTTCAAGGGCCTGTGGTTTGCCGGTTACACCGAGGAGCCCTATACGTTCCAGGTGCTGGGCAAGAGCGGCGGGCGGCTGCCGCTGCTCGTGGCCGACTTCTTGCCCGACGGCGAGGACCTGTCCATGGTGGCGGTGGATGCCGATGGAGACATGCACATTCTCGAGTTTAACCCCGAGCGTACGTGTCCCGACCTATCCTACTTTGCCCCGTGGAAGGGGGGTGGTGTCGTATGCTAACGGCCTTGACAGATCCAAAGAGTCTCCAGGGCCACCTCCTCCTTCACCGCACCACCTTTTGCGTCACCCCTAACGCGCCCACATCCACCCTCCTCCTCCCGCGCACCCTCCCGCCCTCGTCACAGCAGCAACAGCAACAGTTGTCGTCATCGCCATCCCGCCCTCACGTCCTCCTGCTCGCCTCGCCATCGGGCCACCTCGCCGCCCTCACCCCGCTCCCCGAGTCCACGTACCGCCGCCTCCTCTCCGCCACCAACCAGCTGCTCCCGGCCCTCGCGCCCCACGGCGGCCTGCACGCAAAGGCCCACCGCTTGCCGGACCCGCAGCAGCACCACGCGCGCTCGCTCGCCGTCGGCGTCGAGACGGCCGCCTCGTCGGGCCGCGCCGTCGTCGACGGCGCGCTGCTCGCGCGCTGGGCGGAGCTCGCGGCGCCCAAGCGCGCAGAGGTGGCGGCCAAGGGCGGCTACGACGCCGTCGCTGACTTGCGAGCCGATCTCGAGGCATTGCTGGGCTGGAGCGGCGTGGCTTACTTTTGAGGGCAGTGTGGCGGCGGTTGTAGCTAAGGCGGATTGGCATGAAAGGGGGGGGGGGGACCGTGCAAGCAATGCCGGTGGGACTGGGACGGGCGGCGGCAGCTTTCTCCTGTCTGCTTTAACCATCTCAACATCTGGTCGCAGGCAGTGCTAGTGGAGAGTGGGATGGCCGATATTTTGTTCATGTTGCTGTGTGCATGCCATCACAATAGCAGCCTAATCTCATGCGCCTTGTGCACCGCCAGATATGACAAATCGACGCCTCGCGGCTTCATTCTCGATTAAGCAATAGCCTTTACACAGTAACCTCCCACATCAAAGCGAGTGATATTTCCAATCTCGAGTGATGATCCCACCGTCTTTTCAAGCACCCAATGCAGTCCGCCCCCGGAATCCCAACTCCCCACACAAACGAGCCCGTATGCCATGCTCTCCCTCGAGCTCCGCCTTCCCGATGACGCGTGCCCAGTAAGAGTACCGTGAATGACAGTGCCGCCCCTTGACAAATCCAGACGAAAACCCACATGATCCAACGACCGAGGCATAAAACAGAAAGACGAGAAAAACATGACCGCCGTAACTCCTCATGCAGCGATGACCCCGATGCGTATGCCAGTTCCGTCCAAGGCGACGTGAACCGAAAGAACAAAAGGAACTAAACCCAGGGGAAGAACTAGTAGGCCTCTCCAGCGGGCATGGCCTTCTTACGGCGGAAGCTGCCGAGGCGTCGCTTAATGCCCTCGCCTAGCTTCTTGCCCGTCGAGTGACTGCGCTGCAAGTCGCCGCCGGCAAAGACGTCTTTGGCAGCGAGGGAGCCGGGCATGGCGCTGGCGGGGCGTTGGCGGGTCTTGAGACCCGGCAGCATCTCAAGGGCGCTGGGGGGCATGCTCGAGTGTTTTTGGCGCTTCTTGGCCTTGAGGTCGCGCTCGAGTGTGAACGAGGGCTCGCCCTTGCCCTTGAGATCCTCATGGTGGTAAGGCTGTAGAGTGACGCTGGTTAATAACGTTGCGCTTCCTTACGTGCGGGTTCTCCCGCCTCAGTAGGGTGCTGCAAGGTACTCACAATGCCGCTCCAGCGCTTGTAGGCGCCGCCTGGGGCGTCGGCTTCCCGCATGAGATCGGCGCCCTCGGCGTAGTCCATGACATTGCCGCTGTGGTCCATGGCGCCAGGGGCGACGGAAGCGGTGCCCTGGAGGGGGACATTCCGGGTCAGCGAGTCGATGAGGCTCTCGCGGGGCGTGGCGCGGATGGCCTCCATGTTGGACTCCTGGACAGCAGCAAGAGGCGAATACTTCTTGTCGCGGTTCCGGCAGGGGAGGGCAGCATCGAAAGGACCGCCGTGGTGGTAGGGGCTGCCGCCAATGGTGTCGAGACGGTCGATGCAGTCCGTGTATGTGGTTCGCTTGCGCTGCTTGTGGCGGCGGTCGGCGGCGCGAGCTTCGGCCCGGATCTTGTCAAGCGGACGGTCTGACATGTCGCCGGACAAGCGCGAGCGTGGAAGGTTCGAGGGGTGACTGCTTGAGCCGTTGGCAAATGGGTTGTTGAAGTTGGGGCTCAGGCTGCGCGAGCGCTGAGAGTGCGAGCCAGCCGGTGAAGAGGTGACGCTGTCGAAGTCGATGTGTTGGCTGCCGAGGAGCAAAGTGCGGCGAGCATCGTAGGACTCCATGATGAAGGCGGTGCGAGAGTCGTCGTAATCAACGGACGAATACTCGGGAGGCGAAACAGAGTCGCTCTCGTGCCAGAGTGGGCCGGGCAAGATTGGGTAGCGGCGGCTATAGTGAGATGACGTATCGTGGTGCGGGCAATGAGGGAGGAAGCGGGCGGGAGTGGCCAACGACGACGTGGGATGGAAGCGATTATAGAGCACAGCGTCGGCTTGGTCTGCTTGGCTGCCGAGCGCTTGGGGAGCCGGCGACGTGTACCGCGGCGGAGGAGTTGAAGGGGGAGTCGGGGGAAGAAATAAAGAACAAGAGGGGACAGAGAGGCGACGAGGATCCACGTGCGAAGATCCAGGGCCCGTTTCCTGACTCGGCTCCGGGTCCGTCAGAGGGTCGAGGATATATTTCTGGGCCTGTGTCGAGAGGAAATGGTTAGCGGTGAAGTTCGTACAAGAGTCAGGCATAAAGAAGACAAATTATCGAGCCAAGGGAATCAAATGACTGATCTCAATGCGGCCGCATGCCTGCCATGCACGACCCAATGGGCTGCGCGTCAAACGGATCCAGGGTCCACATGGTCATGCCATGCCTTTGCATGGTTGCCTTGGCATGACAGGGATGATGCAGCCTGGGGCGATCCAGGGTCTCTTCGTCTCATGGCTCCATGCGGCAAGCGTCGAGGCCGGATCGGCAGCCATGGGAGACGGCAGTGCATGCTCAGGGGATCCCGGCATCCAGGGGGCGGGCAAATCAGGGAATACGCAGATGCACCGATGCGCTTGCTCGCATGCCCATTTATTGGCGGGGAGAAAAGGAGAATGAAAAAAGACTGACTTACCCAATGCTTGTCCGTCATGTCGTTCGCTTGGCAACTAATGTCTCCGGGGAAGACTACCGGCAAAAGTTGGTGTGGGCTGATGCAGATAATTGGTGGTGGTTTGGTGATGTGTGAGACTCCAGGTCAAGTGGCTGCTTGAAGATGGATGTGTGTAGTGCAGAAAATGCCAACGCAACGAGGAGGGAGGCGAGGACTGTATATAAGTGCTGGGCAATCACTCGGGGGGGCCTTGTTTTCCAGGCAGTCTGCCTTTTGGCAGAAAATTAGGCTTCATGACTGTGCCTTGAGTCTGCGCAAGCCACCAAGGCAACAACCGGATGCTCAAGGCGGCCACAGCGCGTCCCGCGTCTTGGAAGACGACGGACGACGCGCAGGCGAAGCGCGTTTGAGGGACATGGTTGCTGGGTTGAGGCGAGTCGGAGGCGAGTCGGAGGCAAAGGTTCAGGCCGAGTCGAAAGTCTCGCAGTAACTTCCTGGGCCTGTCAGACTCAAAAGGCGCCCATGAGGTTTCTTTGGGGGTTGGACCAAAGAAATACTTTGCTGAGTGTCTGCGCCGCGGTCCATGAAGCGGCAGCAAAGGCTGTGTCCCGAGATTGGAGGGCGACCTTGATTCCGAGTCGCTCGGGAAATATATCGTGAGTCAGCCGTAGTGCCAGAGGGGGCAAACTGCGAGTGGCCAGCATCGCCCGCGTTGGCCCAATGCGGGCTGGCCATGACTCGTCGTCGGGCGCAAGATGTGGAATCTCGAAGGACGCAAGGTTCGTCTTCGCAATTTGCAAGCGTCTAGACGCGGTAGGCTGCACTGCACGTGACGGCGCGTCGCAGCTCTACGCGGTACTTGCCTTGGGTATTTCCAGTCACTTGATGCACGCAATCTTCACCGACGCCGATACTGGCTCTCGCTGCCTGAACTCAGAGGTCATGCGCCGGGGCATGGCGTCAGCCTGGCTCCAGAGTCTCTCCTTCGTGACACGGAAGCCAAAACAATACACTGGCGCTCGGCCTTGTCCACGGCAACCTGCCCCAGAGCCGCGGTCGGGAATCACTCCGTCGCGTCGAGTTGAACACGTCAAGCCTGGCGCGTTGTTTACCTCGGCAGCACACACTGTTGAAGAAAACGAAAGCAAGGTAGCTGGGCAGAGGCGCAAATCGGGTTTTGCAGAGGCTCCCAGCTCAGTGATCCAACCGATAAATGGCCAAAAGTCGCGAATGTCTTCCTTGCCTGTGCAAGCTCCGAAACTGACAAAATGGAGAGCTGTTCACACCCCATCTCCGGGCAACTTTGGCCGTCCATCACGAAGACATCCTAGGTCGCGAGCTGGCAACATGTAGGTTCTCTCTTCAACGAGTCCGACCGACTCTTGAGCAAGAACCCAGGATCCATTTCAGGTCAACTACTGTACTTTCCTAAACAGCTCTGCAATTGAACCAGCGGCCTGCAGCCAACGAGCAGGACCATGGCAGTAATGCGGCCCCGGCCTAGCCCCGAGCTACTCCACAGCGGTGCAGCTAGAAGTTAGAACCAACAGATGCTGTAGAAAGACAGGGACCCTGGTAAATGGCGTGTCGACTCCGAGCACAGTGAGGAAGGTTCATTCATAATTGAGGATTGCCTGGGGGGTTTTGCGTCCTCGTCCTCAGCTGAACAAACTCGTAGTGCGCTCAACATTCAAACCCCAATCCAAATACACCGCTTTAGTTCACGGCCCAGTTTGAGGATTTCACAACATAGCGAGCAGAGCACGACATATTACTCTTGCAGTACACGGAGGGCATCACGATTATTGACGAGGCAACAAATAGGCAAGTTACCATCGTGAGTGCCTGGTCCAGAATCTAAGCTGCACTGACCTTGTCGCGCACGACCACGACATCGCGACGAGCTCTATGCTTCGCAGGCTCGAGTTCGCCGCCATGTACTACAAGTTTGCCGTCCTTGACAAGGGGTTTTTGAAGTGCAATATGCCCTCAAGTCTCAAATAGCAAGAGGGAGGCAGCGGACTGTTGCCGTGACTCACCCGTCGCTGTCTATTCACGGCGTTTAACCGGCCGTTGGTTTGCTCGGGCTCGAGGAAAGAACAATACAATAGTGAACCCTTGTGTGGATAATAGCCGTTCAGTTGCACTGCTGCCTGGGCAGCCCTCTTTGGACTCGCCGTGATTCATGGCGCCAGCTTGGCTATTAAGTAGGCCCGCCCTGCCGTCGCCGCCCTTCAAGTTTTCTTGCATTCTTCCTTCCACCCTCTCAGGTTTTCCCTCCTCCTCCATCCCGTTCCCCTCCTACAGACTGTTACTGAGGCAAACACTTTTCCCACACGACATGCATCCAAGATGATCTGCTGGCCTCGTGCATACCCTCACCTGCACCTCGACGCGGTGCAAAACATGACACTCTCCAACAATCTCCCACCAGGCAGTCCACGGCTATCCGTCCGACTGCCAATGTCGAGTCTCGAATGCCACTCCGATAAGCCCGGCTCTGGTGTCAACTCAACACGACAAGACGGATCAAGGCGGCCAATCATCGGCAATCCACATCTGGCGGAGCTGTCTGATCTCCGAGACACGCCCATGCTATGCGAAACCTGGCCTCTGGATCTGTGCGTTTCTCGTCGGATTGGACGAAGACGATGATCTCGACCCGCATCCCTACCACCAAGTCAGGCCCCGGTTCGACCACGATTGGTCACGCCGTCTTTTACACCGTCATCAACTAGTCAACAAACCTTGATCGGTTCGTCTCTACTTGTCCTTGGACCCTTTTCATATATTTGCTCGTCCGAACCTTCAACCCTTCCTCGTCGGTGGAAAGTGTTGGGATTGGGGCCTTGCCACTGCTTCCGGGTCGTGGCGGGGCGTTCTGGCGAGGTTGGTGACAGTGTTGGCTGCAGTGCAAGGCCTTTCGGGTGGAAGCCCATGTGTCCCTGTCACTCGCTTCAGTTTGATCAAGCTCACCGGCGAGACAATCACGCGAGAGGTTTGGAGCGGCACAGGAACTCATGAACCTGTTGGCAGCATCAAGATATACTGCGCCAGCATTGCATCGGTTGGAGTGCTCCGCCTTTTCCTACTCAAGCGGTTGATGCCTTCCACAGATACAACTCGGGTTGAATGAATACTTTATTGTCGTGCCCAGCGGCGACAGTTTTCTGTTGAATTATGGAATCTTGTGTGCTGTTGGGGTCCGCTCAACGGACTCGTTGCTCTCCGTCTTCGACCAATGTCTTCATGCTGGGCTAGCCAGACGAAACCTCCCCCATCAAAAGAAAAGGAGCATTCCCAAAACAGTCTGCGCAAGATGGGAGTAAATCGCTCGCTCGCTCAAAAATCAAATAATCCTGCGTGTTCATAACATACCTACAGCATGTCTCTCGTTACGTCATCTCTCGGACGGGTCATCTGCAGGTAGGCGTGAAGCTTCCTGTTTAGACTCAATCGGTTCGCGTCATACGCAAATGGGTATCATGTTGCGGCCAAGGCTGCAAAACCTTCAAACCTCGATTGGTACCGACTTGGAATGTTGATATCGCCGCGTATAAACGCATATGCTTCTCACTGTCGTGAGCTTTCGGCCAAGGCAGGGTGCGTGCTCAAGCAAGGGACCACACGATCGCGGGAAGCCTGTCCCGAAAATGGTGTCCATCGTTGTTTGGGTATGGACAGCTGGTCATCGAGTGGAGAAGAGATCCGCGTCGGTTGTTCAGCCAACCATCTCTCACAAAGCAGTCGGGCAGGAGACTTCTGGAAAGTGCTCATTAGGGCCCCTTTTTCGATGCACGCTGTCGTGCTTTTCGATTCTGACGGTTCTTGGAGACTTTGCCTGTCGCCACCTCTTTGGCCGGCCGATTCTTCTTCCGCGACGATGGAGGCGCCAGCTCGACAGAGCTTCCGTGCATCTCGTGAAACAGCTTCTCGGTCCAGTCAAATACGTTGTCGTGCTGGTAGCCCTGAGCGGCAAAGAGACGGCGGAAAAGAAGACGGAGGTAGGCGTATTTGGGTCTTTCCTCAAACCCCAGTGACCGGGTATGTTCGATGTACTGGGTAAATTCCAGTGGGAGCCCCTCGCAGAGTGCCTTCGCCGAAAGACTCATCTTCTTGTCCTTGATGAGCTCGGTCCTCTCCTTGTCGTTGGCGGCTTTCATGCCCTGCCACGGCAGAGAGCCGCGGGCGAAATACAGCAAGACGTATCCGAGGGACTCGAGGTCGTCGCCCCAGGAATGCTCTGTCGCAAAGTTAGCAAGACAGGGGTCATCCGAGGGCACAAGCACTCACCGCGCCCGTTGTGGTTGTTGATGCTGGCGTATCGAACGGTGCCACCAAAGAAGGGGCCGCACAATCTCCAGAGCTCGCCACTGCCGTGTTCCTTGGCCAAACCAAAGTCGATTGTGTACAGCACATTTCCCTGTCTGCCGAGACCCATGAGGAAGTTGTCGGGCTTGATGTCGCGATGGAGGAAGCCTTTCTTGTGGATGTACTCGATTCGCGAGATGGCCTGGTCAGCCAGCAAGAGGACCGTCTTGAGCGAGAAGCGCCGGTCGCAGTAGTTGAAGAGATCCTCTAGCGAAGGGCCAAGAATCTCATGAGCCAAGACGGAATATTCACATTCCTCCCCGTACCACAGAACTCGCGGGATTCCAGTGCCGCCGGAAAGTGACTTGTACACCTCTGCCTCGGCATTGAGAATATCGGCGTCATTGGCGTAAGACATGAGCTTTAGAGCGACTTGCGCGTTTGTCTGTATATCCGTGCCTGGCGAGATCAGCCGCGAGCTGTCTTGAGTAGGAGACGCGGAAACGCACCCGCATAGACGAGGCCGAAGCCACCTTGGCCGATCTTGTAATCGACACGATATCTCTCGTTGACGAGAATGTCCTGCCAGAGGTCCAGTGTCAGGCGGTCACCCTTTAATCTCGCGGTCTGTGACAAAAAGTACCTTCATCTTGGCCGTCGAAGCTGTCGTTGTTCAGAAGTTCATCCGAGAGGGACGATGGAGAAACCTCCAAGAGCGCAGCCTCGGGTGGGTATTTGTAGCCAGCCATTGGCGGCGCATAGTTGATCCGGCTCGGCCTTGGTCCAGCGGCGGGCCTTTTGCGACCAACAAACGGACCCTCCTCAAGCGAACCAAACGTCGTCCTTTGTCAACCTAAAAACAGATACGGATACGTTGGTCACAAACACCAAACTGGCTGTCACAATGGCGGCTGTGTGCCGCACTCTTTTTCCTTCAAACACGGCTCGAGCAACAAACTGAATGGAACTTGCAGGCCTTGGACGCTACAGATCACTTTTGCTCCCCCCGTTCACCTTGGAAGCTGCTCTTTTCTTCCCAAATTATTCGTATCTACTAGTCGGGTCTGGCTGACTTGAGGTTCAACAGGCAGTGAAGCTGCTCGCTGACGTAACGCATGTCTCACCTCGGACTTTTAGCGAGTCCAGCGGGGAGGCACTGAAAGTCCCCCCCCTGAAGAGCCTTCCGAGAGGCATCCGTGGATCCCAATTCCCTCGCCGGACAAACCTTTAATCGGCCATCGCCATCGTGATGCACTCGCTCCTGCTGCTGCTGCGCCCCGAAGCTCAACCGCCCGTCATGACTTGACCTGACTGGAGGGAAGCGCGCGTGTACGTGTGAGCCACAGGGAAGGTGCGCGACATCAGATGCCTCCTTCCGGGGCTGCAAGTACTGCCATCAACTTTGCTCACCCACAGCCATGGTTTGATGCTAGTCTCGCCATGTCCCTGGTCGACTACTCTTCCTCGTCTGCCGCCGAGTCAGACGCCGACGAGACGCGGCAGCCGCCCGCCAAGCGCCGCAAGGCCGGCCTCGGCAACAGCGCCGCCGCCTCTTGCAGGTCTGGCGGGACGGGCTCCTCTACCGCGTCGACGGAGACGATGCCGCCCTTGCCTGCGGCCTTTCACGACCTCTACGCCTCGACCGTCCGCCAGAGCGTCACCGACGACCCGGGCTTGCACCATGGCCGCAAGAGACAGACTCCCCACGTGCCGGGCAACTGGCCCACGCACCTCTACATCGAATGTAAGTTTTCCTAGCCAGCCCACGCGTCTGTGTGGGATTCTGACGGCGCGTGCATTGCCAAGGGCATCCGAGCGAAGCGCAGCACAACGCACTCGAGGAACTGCTTGGTCTGGCCGAGGCAGAGCTCGGCGACGATATCAAGCTGCGCAACTTTCTCACGAGCGACCTAGGCGCCCACCTGCCGCTACACATCAGCCTTTCCCGCCCCCTCAGCCTGCGCGCCGCCGAAAAGGACGATTTCCTGGACAGGGTGACCAAGTCGATCCGAAGCAGCGGCACGGGGGCTTTTGCCGTGCGGCCAGGCGGCCTGGCCTGGTACCGGTCGCCCGACTCGGGCCGGACATTTCTCATCCTCGGCGTCGTGGCGGGCGCGGGCATGGGGTCGACCAACCCGCAGCTCATGAGGCTCCTGACACGGTGCAACACCGTGTCGACGTCGTTCAACCAGCCGGCGCTCTATCAAAAGACGTACAACGAGGCCGTCGGCTCGGCCTTTCACGTCTCCATTGCCTGGACGTTTGGGCTGCCCGACGACGAGGCGTCGCTTAGAGTACTCAGGCTGTTCAAGCGGAAGCAGTTCAAGAAGCTGCAGACGTGGGAGATAGACGTTTCGGGCGTCAAGGCCAAGATTGGCAACGTGGTGAGCCATATACCGCTGGCCGAGATGGGGTCCCAGGCCGCGGCGGTGTCGAGCTCGCTGTTGCTTGGGCCGTGATGCGGGGTACTTTGGTGCCGTGCTGGAGTGATGACGATGTTGACGACCACAAGACAAGGAAGAGTCCGGAAGAAGCACCCAGGGATGCACAAGACTTGCAAAGATACCACTCTTATTTTTGATAACCATGCAAGGTGACACGATTCACCATGTGTTCATGTTTGCAACGACGGGATGGCATGTTCGGTGTCTTGGCTGTACCGTCCTTTTCCATGGCGGTCTCCAGTGTTCTTTGTCCGTTGGCATTGCGACCATGGCCACTGTCGCACAGCTCGTGGACAGCAGAGAGCTAGGGAGGTCGTGACTTATTGGCACGATGATGGAAAATTTATCCGGGTTCTGCTCCTAGGGGTCCAGGGGGAAGATGCAGCCACACACTCTCTCAGAGAGAGAGAGAGAGAGGAAAAGGGAGAGAGAGAGAGAGGAGAAGGGAGAGAGAGAGATTGAGAGGGCGGCAGCCACGTGCGGCCGTCATGCGAACGGGGCCCTGGCCCTCCCACCGCTACTGTATAGATATGCACGAAGAGGTGTGCATTCAGTACATACAGATATACACATACATATCCGGGAAAGCGAGAGGACAGCATCTGCCCGTGGTGGCTGGCGGATGAGGCTTCCGGCGGACAGGACGAGCCACGCAACAGCCGGTGCAGCAGGGCTTGGTGAGCACGACAGCCGGTGCTGTACGAAGTAGTACCTTAGGTAGGTAGAGGGCAGGTACTCCATAGAATGTGTGCGGGATGCACAATGTCCATAATGACCGATGCCGACAACTTGCTTGGTGTTTGCCGGCGGATTGATCGCGGGCCAGCCGTTCAGTCGCCAAAGGAGTTCGCCGTCGACCGTTGTTTCGTTTTTCGTGCTCGTTCAAGCCGGCGCTCAACGCAAGCAACTCTCTTGTCGTCACGAACCAAGCCGAGTTCACGATACATGGAAGAGTAATCAAACATACACTCCTGATTTTCAAACATACACTCCCGACCTAAGCCCCATTTGGAAGAAGACCCCGCCACCAAAATTTGGCGCGCGCTTTCCCAACGCCCTGGCTTGCCGTGACCATCGCCGCCGCCCACCCGCCCAGCCACCTGCCTTTTTGGCCGCCATCTGCATTTTCGCAATCATCAACAATTGAAGCTATCACCACTTGACTCAACACAACAGCAACGCCGCCGCCGCCTACCGCAATAGTCACGTCTAGTCAATCGTCCCGATGAATTCGACCGAAAGCAATACCAACAGTAGCACCGAGGCTATCACGGAGATGTCTTTCGATACGTATGATGAGGCGCTTGAAACACTCAAAGCTACGCAAGAGCTCCTACGTCGTAGTCGTTGCAAATAGCAAGAATACCGGCAAGCCTAGGCGCAAGGAAGCCAATATCCGCTGTGAATACAGTGGTCAGTATAGGCCCTGGGACGAGGCAGAGGGTATATACAAGACGTCATCCAAGAAGTCGGGATGTGACTTTCGCTGTTACATCCGCTTCTACCGACGTTGCAATGCATTCAAAGTCACCATCAAGCACGGCTCTCATAACCACGAACCTCTATTTGAGCCAATTGCTAACCCCATCGTCCGTCAACGAAGCCAACGCAAATTCGGCATCGAGCGTCTTCATAGCCTCGTCGAGGGCTTAGCAAGAACGTCAATAACAAGAGCAGGGATATCGTGGATGCTATCCGACAGGAATATCCTGAGCTCCTTATTACCGATTCTGATATACACTTCATCCAGCTGCAACTTCGTGCCTTCCGTTACGGCGCCTCTACATCTACACAAGCCTTCCTCGATGTACTCAAAGATGCTAAAGCAAAGGGAAATCAGCTACTATGCAGTTGACCGTGGCCCTAATGGGAAGGTTTGGAGGTTTTTCTGGACATACGATGACTGTATTGCTGACTGGAAGCGTAACCCCGAGCTCCTTATCATGGATAATACGTATAAGGTCAACCGCTTTAACATGCCGCTTCTACAGATCATTGGCACAACAGGGCTACACAAGAGCTTCAGTGTAGGCTTTGGCCTCACTGCCAAGGAAGACGAAGGCGCGTTCCAATGGATCCTCTCACAGTTGCGTGAGGCTGGTCGGCAGGCTGATATTCCGGACCCGGGCGTTGTGATTACCGACTTTGATACCGCCCTGAAGAACGCCCTTGACTCTATCTTCCCATCAACGCAACAACAAGTGTGCGTTTGGCATATGATGAAGAACGTGATCCTTCACATCAAGAAGAAGTGGGAAGGATCCCTCGATGGCACCGAGATTGGCGGAGATAGGCCAGAACAGGAGACTCGCCTCGCTGCAGCAGCCGCTCTCGACGACCCTATACAGGCAGATAATGCCATTGACGAGGACCGACCTATCGACCGTGCCACTGATTACCAGATTCAACATGCCTCACAACTGGCAGATCAGTGCGTTGAGCAACAAGATGATCGTGAAGATGACGATGGAAACCCAATACTACCCCGGCTCCAAGGCGGACTTTTGAGCACACAGCTGACGGTATCCGTGATGCCTGGGTTTCAGTCTTTAGGGCTCGCACGGCTGAGGAGTGCAGAGATCAGTGGGATCTACTCTGTATAGAGTTTTCGGATCAGCCAGGTAACCCTAGCCCTAACTACCCTCCTACTCTAACCTTTTACTAAATAGCTCCTCTTATAGCTCTCGTTAATTACCTCCGTACAACCTACTGGCCATGGCGTGCCCAGTTTTCCACCTACGCTATCCAACAGTACCGAAATTATAACATTACGGTAACTTCCCGTGTGAGAGCACACATCACGAGTTGAAGTCACGATTACGCAACCGCTTCATTGACCTCCATCAGCTACAAGAGCACATCAGAGGGCTCGTTACCCATCGGCAAAAGAAGCATCGCGAGAAGCTTCAATCCGAGTTTGCAAGAGCTAGAGTTGAATGGGCCAAGCAGACGATTATGAAGTCACTGCACCGAAAAATTGGCTGGCAGCCGATGAAACAGATCTTCAGGCAAGTTAGGCTAGCCCGGGCTGAGCTTGCCGATAATCGAGGCATGCCTACGATTTGTACGGTGCTTTCACGATGCAATGGGGCTGCCCTGCCGGCATACAATCCGCGATTTGATCCAGGCTGACGCGGCCGCCCTTATACCATTGCATCTTATTGATAACCACTGGCGGGTTTACGGCGTGACTGTAAGTATCTTGCTCCAGCCATAAGTACTATACTAATTTACTAGCAGCCTGAACAACAGCAATATATCGATGCAGACCACGAAGCCGATCCTGACGTTGTCCAGCCTCGCCGGCGTGGAAACAGTAGACGCGAGGTATCCCCTCCACTAGAGGCATCTACGGGCCGGATCCTTAGTGCTTGGGAGCAAGAGGAGCATAGAGCCAACCCAGAGCTCGTATCACGGCCACCAGAGACGCAAAAGAAGAAGAGGAAGGGCACAGGCACCACTATCATGAACAAGAGGTCGAATACACTTGCTTCCGTGAGCAGCCGGGTTGACGATCTTGCCCAGCAGATCGGTGATTTCATCAAGTCACAAGCAGCAGCAACGCCGGTGCTGTTATCACAGGTGCCCTCACTTCCACAGGTGCCGCTGGTGTCACAGGGATACCAAACGACGATGCCCTCACTTCCACAGCCGGCGCCGCCGTCACAGGATACTATGTGATGCCACCGCCTACACCAATTGTGCCTGTATACGTACAGGCGCCGGCGCCGTCACAGTGGCAAGAACCGCCTCCTCGTCACAGGCACATCACGACGGCTTCATGTGGGCACAGCCGCCGGCACAGTCTCACGAGACGGCTACGGAGCATTTCCAGCAGCTAGGGATCAGAGGGACACGGCACCATACAAAACTAGCAGGCAGGCCGGTCACAAATTCGTTCCTTACGTGCCTCGCCCTCCGCCGCGTCGGACGGATCCTTCCTCACAGTCACAGTCACAGTCACAGAGGTAGGCAAAGACCTTCCGCCATTATATGCATATTGTATATATATCGGAAGATCGATCGGGCCGGGCTTATTGATAGCTTCAATTGAATGACTCTAAGGGATGCATCTTCCGGCGTTGGTAATAATTGCAGATAGAATCCATATATGTCAGACAATAGTGTCCCACACCTCGCACGTGACAGCGGTTGATCTTTGTGGCATCAGTCAATTGATGAGAATTATCTAAAGAACAAAGGAAAGGAAAAGAATTGGATGCACACATTCGTGCAACAATATATACCCGATCATTGCGGCGAAGCCTGGCGCAGCAGTGGCAGTGATCGAGCATAAGGTTTCAGGAACTGACACGGGCGTGATATGCGACAATATATCTAGGCAGGCAGCCGCGGCAGCGGCGTTGGGAAAGCGCGCGCCAAATTTTGGTGGCGGGGTCTTCTTCCAAATGGGGCTTAGGTCGGGAGTGTATGTTTGAAAATCTGGAGTGTATGTTTGATTACTCTACATGGAAGGGCTGATCGAGTGCCGGGAGCGTGATGAGGGAACGCCCGGGTGGGGGCAGCCGGGGACCGCCCTGTTAGCGCCCATGCTGTGCGTTCGCGCCCGCGGTCCGGCTCATGTACCTCCAGGGCTTTGTTTACTTCCTGTGCCGGCCGTGTCGGGAGCTACAAGTACCTGCTGCTAGCGCCACCAGGCACCACCCGCGTCCGTCTCTCAACTGCAGGTACCTCCCGGATTTGTTCCCATCCCGCACCGCAGCCTTGTAGCCCAAAATCCACCGCCTTCTTACCCGCCCACCTTTCTTCTCTCCTCTTTCTCCCCGTCTTTTTTGTCCTCGTCACCAAGAAGCTCAATCCTTCTCTTCTTCTCCCTTCTTCTTCTGCTTCTTCTCCTCCCTCACCTCTCTCCTCTCACCTCTCTCCTCTCACCTCTCTCCTCTCTCCTCTCTCCTCTCTCCTCTCTCCTCTCTCCTCTCTCCTCTTCCTTCCTTCTTCCTCGACTCTCGACCTTCTCCCTCCCCTCATCCCACCCGGCCCCCCTGCTGCCCCCCGCGACCGACCCGCTCGTGGCTGTCCAGAGACCCTCCTCCCTCGCGCGACTGATTGGCGAATTTGTTAGACCCCGCGACGGTTGCCCGCCTCGGTTGAGCCAGCATTAAACTACAGCGCGGCAGAAAAAAAAGAAACTCCCTGCCCTGTCTCAACATCCACCTTGTCCCCCCCGCACTGGCTCTCGCGCGACCAAGACTTCCTCTTCTCCCATACCCCTCTTCGAGAAGAGACGGTCATCACTGAGCGTCGCCGTCCATAGAGGGCAGGTCGGACGAGAAAAGAACAAGGGGAAAACGTAACAGTCGGACATTGTGCGCCCGAGACGATGGACATCGACACTAGCCGCCGAAACAAGTCGCCTCGCGCCTTGTCGGACGCCGAGCGCGCACGCGTCGAAGAGTACATTGATTCCATTCACTATTCCGCCAGGTGAGTAGTCTGGCCTCCTCCCCTCCCGGCGTCAACGCCGCCTGTTGGACCCAGGGGCAGGACTGCGATGCGAACTGGTCCTTGGCCACGCCAACTCACCGGCGAGGCCAACCGCGCTGACCCGACGCCTGCAGATACTCGGACAGCGAATACGAGTACCGGCATGTGCAACTGCCCAAGGCCATGCTCAAGGCCATTCCCAAGGACTACCACGACACCTCAAAGGGCACTCTGAAACTGCTGTGGGAGGAAGAGTGGCGGGCTCTCGGAATCACCCAGGTGCGTCGCACGAATCCCCCGCCGTCTGCTGGCAAGCAACACGGCAACCCTTACCGTGGCGCCGGCGATTTGCACGACGACGGACACTGACCAAGCACCGCAGAGTCTGGGTTGGGAGCACTACGAGGTCCACGAGCCTGAGCCGCACATCCTCCTCTTCAAGTGCGTTCCCAATCCTCCCCCAACCCTGGCTCTCGCATCATGCTCACACCCGCCACAGGCGTCCGCTGAACTACCAGCCCCCGCAGTGAGCACTATCCGAGGCTCCTGGCTCAGAAGCCCACCCCCAATGTACGATAGTGTCGAGTCTGCGCACCGGTGAATGATGCCCGCGCGGTTCTCGTTTCACGCCCTCTCACGACATCACGGTATTCACATGACAAGCTCGCGTTCGGTTTGGTGTAAGAAACAGGCATCGATATCCGCAAAGGTTGGAGGCGCGCGCGCGCCATGCCCTCGCCACTCGTCAGATCCCGGGCTGGGCTTGGAAGGCAACGAGGACGGTTTTGGCGGGCCGACTATTATATGACGGACACGGCTGGTTCTGCTTGCAGGCAACTCTGATGAGGCACGCTCGTGTGCCGCAGGACAGAGCTTGGGTTTTTTCTGTTTGGATTGTCGAGGAGTGGGCGCACGCCTGGGCTCCGGGAAGGGCGAGGGCTGGCGACATGGCGCGTCGGTGTGTCGAATGGTTTCGGCTGGGCACGTTGCCGGCCGTGGAGAGCATGTAGGCGTTGGGATAGCCTCAACTAGATGGAATTGAGGTGTCATGTAGAGGCGTCAGGTCCCATGCTTGCCCGCCCAGCATCTTGTTCAAGGGCGGGGAGGGTTGGCGTCGAGGGGATGGAGCCGCAGGGACGAGCAAGCGGCGAGGGGCGATATGAGACTCGCTTCCCGTGTCCTGTGACTGGCGAGTGGCATGCCTTGCCCGACATGGCATGAGTTATATGTCCCTGGATATAGGCCTATATGCATGGCGGGCAGCCGGAAGTGCAGTGAGTGAGTGGGTGTGCGTGTGAAGTCCGACCAGGCACTGTGACGACACGACGATGCCGCTGGGTGCCGGTCCGTGGGCACTCAGGCAGATGGTGCGTCGGGATGAATCCTGGTTGGACCGACGGAGCCCCGGAACAAGTCAGCGACAGGGAGCAACCGGCCGGCCGGCTCCGACTCGCACGAGACCCGTCCCGCCCCTCCTTCGGGTGACACGGAGAAATAATAGCTGCGCTACTGCGGCCAAACGGCCTGTTGATTTTAGAGGGGAAGGAAATGTCTGATGCATCTGAGTTGGGGGAGGGGGGGGCTTGGGTTTGCTTTTGGGGGAGCTGGATTCGCCGGTTGGCGTATTTTGTTAGTGTCGCCTTCGAAGCTCGACATTGTGCGAAATGGATACTCGGGCTCCAGAGCTTGGGGATGTGCATAAAGTCAACATGGCGCCACCTTTGCTCGTGGAGCAGATATTCATTCCTAGCTGTGTCTCGAGCCTGCGTACGGCACTATTCCATGTACATTATTAGTATTCGTTTCTCTCGGGTAGGTACCTATGTCAAAGGTTGTAAAATACGGACGGCGAGGACAATAACAATGCCCATGCAGATAGATGTTCTTTTGAACAAAGACAGCCAAGGCGACGACGAAAACTCGAGCACTCGGTTTTAACAATAAAAATGGGTCTGGGACACAAATGCAATCTACTAGGCAGCAGCACGATTCAAACACGCCGTTGTTGAAGGGCCGATTCCTCCTCCTATTGTCCCGGTAGTATGCCCACGAGTAAATGAGATCCTCGACCGCCATGCTGCAGGCTTCATCGGGGGCACCACTCAGTGTGTGGACGCTCTCCAAGTCTAGTATGACTACTCTGTCTCCAACCAGACGGAAATTGTCCAGCTTAATGTCGTCATGCTCGAAGCCGAGGGAAACCATGGCGCTGAGGGATTCCTCGAGCATTCGCCTCAACTCGGCCTCGTCCATCTCCAAAACGTCATCCTCACCGAGCGCTTTACCGCCTACATCGGAGAGCACCAATGCCGGGGTACCGTCGTCGCACCGGGCCTGCCCGTAGAATATTGGAATGACGCTGCCCTGCAGAGGCTTGAGGCGCTTGTACACGCGCACCTCTTTGGCAAACTCTTCCTCCCAGTCGGGCTTTAGCGTCTTCAGGACGACGGTTGGGGGTAGGCACCAGAGCGGCGGGAGGAGGCCGAGAGCGTGGGCCGAGTTCGGGAGACAGAGTGCCAGCAGCCAGCGAATGCAGCGACTGATGATGTCGCGGCGGAGCGTCAAATGGTAGACCTGAGGATGAACTCGGCTCGCTCTGCGGCCAGTCCCCGTCAGGGTGTAGGGCCCGCAGTGGAACTGGCAACAGGTCAGAGAGCAAGCAGACAGCGGGCGGGGCCTGCCTTCGTACCTGGAGCTGTATGCTCGCAAGGTTCACAGGCTGGTCCATCGACGGCGGCAGGACTTGCGATGCGGTGATTCTGCCACATGGAACCAGTCGGTGGCTAGAAAAGGGGTAACTCGAGCGTGCAGTAATGGGTCCAAAGGGCCTGGCTATCTGGCCCAGAATCTCTCTAAATCCCCTCTTTTAATTGGTTGTTGCAGCTACTTAGTAATCAGGCGCAGAGTGGAAGCACCGTGGGCGCATTGTCACAATCAATCACAACAGCACGAGAGGCTGGTTGACCAGCTCAGAAGCCAGGAAGTCCGGCTTCCGGGCTTGCGTCTAATTTTCACCCATCGGTCCCATGCTGTCCGCTGAAGCCTTGAGCGGCTGAGTCGGCTGGTCTCAGCAGCATTCCCAGGTATTACCAATCGTATTTTCCCTCGTGTCGATTACAAATTACTGAGTCTGTATCCTAAATCCTTACACATTGCACGGCAAACTGAGGATTCTTCGCAACGTTGACGCAGGGCTGTTCTCCTCGTCGTCGTGGCCAATGGCAACCTTGGACGCTGGGCACGTTCTCGCACATCTGGTTCTCTGGGTGAGTACCAGTTGCCCTAATGCGCTGGAGCTTGTGTTGCTAATACCGCATAGCTATTTCTCTAGGATGGCGGCAACTTCAATCTCAAGAATTATAGGATATGTAATGAAACTGGTCACTGACTGACTGCACATATAGACTTCGATACCGAGATTACTCCACGGGTCGGCGACTTCCACGCAGCGCAGAGTTTTCGCAGAGAAACAGTTGATTATATCGAATGTTGCCTGGCACTAAATCTGGGTAATTAGAGTCCCGCCCCGATCCAACCGTACAGTGGCAGCCTTGAAAGCAACCGGCGACATGATCTGCAAGGCCTATTACCAAGGTCAGTTTATAGTTCTGCTTATGCACTATTTACTAACAAATTTTGACAGAACACAGAAAAGCTCTCTTTTCCGAGTTCAAGTTTGCAGCTAAAGCGACAGAAATAGAGCTATCCGTACAGTGTACAGTAGATGTTGCTTTGTCAGGGTGGGTGGCCGCAAGCCAATAAGACCGCAGAATATTATGACTTCCGGATTAGGGCAGAAGCCGCGGTGTCTCGGAGTCTCGGAGCGGGCTACGCGGCGGTTACTTATTCTCCAATTAGAGACAACCACGTCGCCATCACCAACGCTTCTACAGACGAGACTAGATCCGCGCGGCTGCGTGAGACAGCCTACTGCCAGATAAGTCATAGTGGCAAGAACTGGAGCGGATTGGTGTGACTGCATTGTAGTGTCCCCATCAGAACCACACCTAAAGATGCGAGTGCTAAAGTCGGGCGTTACGGCGGCCTATAGGTGAGTTAGAGTTAAAACGCATCTTACTATTTTTAGAACTAATACGTAAACCCTATAGGGGTAGATTTTATTTTTCGTATAATGCAATATTAAGCGTATAAAAAATATTTCTACTATATAGGCGAATACGTATAACTTTATATAATTATACGACTATAACGCTCCTTTATTATATAATAGCGTCCGATATTTACTATATAAAGGGGTTTAGGCATAAAGCTATCTAAATTTAGTATCCTAACTAGATACTTTATCTATATTATATATAACCCTTTTATTCCCTTTAGGATATAAACGATTCGGATAATAAGGAAGTAATCTTCGTAGAATTAAGGATTAAGCCTAAGCTAGCTAATAAACCGCTACTATTAATAGATATCGCTTCCGTTCTAACTACTACTACTACTATAATTACGGATCCTACTACTTCGTTAAATAATAATAGCGCGTATTACCTTACTAAGGCGTTAATATCTTTAACTATAGCGCGATAAATAAGTATAGTAAGAACCTAGATAAAATAACTAAACTCCCTTATTATAGTATCTATTTTATTATTTTCGGCTAGGTATATGAACGTATAGATAGGTACGCTTATCACGGAGTAGGCAGAGGCGTAGGCTTAGGTGCGGTCCGTTAAAAGAAGGTTAATAATCTATAAGGGGGAAAAGGAAGAGAAGTATAGGCCTAGCCTATATAGGCGCGGAGGTCGCTTATATATAGACTTAGCCTAGACCCTAGTCTAGGCCTATATAAGGCAAAAGCCCTTATATTATACCCCTACCCGGCTTTTAAAGAGGCGCGCCTCTAAATAATACCTAATACCGCGCCTAGGGGGACGGAACCCTCGCGCGGACCACGTACGCTTAGTCGCGGAAAAAACGTTAGCAAATAACGCATAATACCCTCTTAAGCAAGCTTCTTAGATAGACTATATTATTAGTAGGGGCCGCGCCCTAGGAGTCGGGCTTTAGCACTTCTAGCTAAGGAGTAGAGGCACGTAGAACGGCGCGTAGCTAGCTTCGGTAAGCTTATAGTATCCCGCCCCCCCTATATCGGCGCACGGTAGTAGCTCCTAGTACTATAACGTAGGGGACGGTACTCCGGTATATAAGGCTCTGCTCCCTCCCGTACGGGGCTATACGGGCACTCCCTTTCGCTATGGTTATATTATATTAGCGGCCTTCCTATATCTTAGCCGCCCTTTCGGTCGCTATAGGCATATGTCCCGTCCGTATAGTAGCTACTACCGCACGCGAGGGGACGCCGACGAAGCCCGTAGAGGCGTTACTAAGATTACTCGTTGCTAGAGTCGCTATCGTCGAACCTAACCTCCTTTCCGTCTTAGCGCGTGCGCCTCTCTACTACTTAGAGTACGTTTACCCGCGCCTCCCGGCGCGGGTACTTTAAAAACTAATAGAATTTACTACCGTAGCCTATATAGCGACCCTCTTATCGCTACCTCTTTCTATCCTTAGTCCTCGAGGCGGAGATAGAGATATCTATAGTATTACTAGCGTTATCTTCTTCTTATATTACGGAAGAAGATAAAAAAAGAAACTTATTACTACTAAGCTTACGAAGAAAGTAGACGAGATCGGTATATATATTTAGTAGTATAGACCTTTCGCTTAAATAGGTACGCTAATCCGAATTTAAGCTTATAACGAGGTAATTATACTTTACCGCGTTAGGCTAGCTATATACGTCTACTTAATAAAGTACCTCTTCGAACTATACGAGGTAGGTTAGAATAGCTTTACTCCGCTTCTAATAGAGCGTTATAAGCTCTTAGCCTACTAACTTAGCTATATTAAGTTCGCTATAATTAGTATAGAGCTTTACGAGGAGGTCGGCTAGTCTATTTATACTAATATATATAAACGGTAAGAGATACCTTTATAGGTATAGGGATAGGCTCGCGTAAAGATAGTCGAATTAGGCGCGGATATCCCTTATTACGGCGCTATCGGTATAGAGCTTCGCTTCTATATAAAGTAGCTATAGCTCGAGCTCTACGGAGGAGCCGTTAAACTTATTAAGGTACGGTAGTACCGCTCTTAGTCGTGCGGAGCCCTACTATTATAAGAGGCTCTTAATTACCCGGGCGAACTAAGTATTACGTTCGCTTTAATTTTACGACTATAAGAGTATAGATATTTCGCGTATATATATACCGGCGCGGGTAGTTTAACTAGACTAAGTAATTAAACGTTAGCTTTAAAGGCAGCTAAAAATAGCTATTCTATATATAGGGATATAGAGAGGGTAAAATAAAGGGTAGATTATACTATTATAGAGTAGGTAAAGGTATAGGCTTAGGTATAGTCTATTAAAAGAAGGTTAATAATCTATAAGGGGGAAAAGGAAGAGAAGTATAGGCCTAGCTTATATAAGCGTAGAGGTCGCTTATATATAGACTTAGCCTAGACCCTAGTCTAGGCCTATATAGGGCAAAAGCCCTTATAACGCTTAATATTTAAAGATATAAGGAAGGACCTATTAGTTTAATATATATTTTACTTATTTATATTCTCGATCCGTTATAATAGTATAGCTCTTATACTAAAATAGTTAATATATTAATCTATATAACTTTAACTAACGAAGATTACTAGAAGATCGACTAGATTCTTTACTATATAATTAAGTAAAATAAGCTAGTAGCCCTTATAAAATTCTCTAAGGCCGTTTATAAGACTATATTATTTATTAACTTCTTTATAAAAGCACGAATAATAATAGTAGATATAAAGTATACGATCTATATACTATACTTATTTAAGATTAAAGATAATAATAATTTATTATCTTTATTCTTAAACGGAAAGGATAAGGGGAGTCTAGAGCTAGTCTAAGGAAGTTATATAAAACCTATAATAATTAAGTAGGAAAGGAAAGCTATAAAGCCGTTTATAGGGAAATATAAGCGACCGGGCTAGATAACTATTAAATAGGGTATAAAAAAGGAGGACGTAATAAACTAAGTACGTTTAGTATCTAATATACCTCTAACTAATATAAACTCTACTATATTAACTAGAATAAAAGGGAAAGAGGAAAAATATATAATAATAGATTATTCTACTTTTAATATAGATATATTATAAGTAAAATAGTTAATTATTATATAAGGTAAGGTAAAAAAGAATAATAAGGGTAAATTTAATTAGTTAGTTAATATATCTAGTAATATAGAAGGTATATAAGTAAAAAGATACTATTTTAGTCGCTCCTTACTATAAGAGTCTTTAACTATTATAGGTTATAGGCTTAGGCTATAGCCTAAGCTATATAGTTATATATAAAAGGCTAGATCCTATATATATATATATAGGCTAGCTATATATAAAAAAGCTTAGTATAGCTTATTAATATTATCCTATACACGGTACTTATATATATACCTCTACCTACTCTATAATAATATAAGCTATTAACTAATAGATCTAATAAATATCTCCTTAAAAAGGGTACTACTTCCTTAAGGGAGTACCCCGCTACCTCTTAAGCGGATAGGAAGTATTATAGCTATCCTAAAAGCGATTAAAAGCGCGATAGCTAACGAGAAGAATAAGGTTCTTACTATACTAAGGGAGCCGTCTACGAGACTAGCCTTAACCCTTATAACCTCTATAACGCCGGTTATAGCGGCGGTACTACTAACGCGGAAGCCG